ATTCGCTGCTACTGGCTAGAAAATTTCTAATGTTCTAAAACCTCTGAAGAACTCGTCAGTTTGTATTTGGATTAAGGCCCAGAAGGTAGATCTCGATCTCCTGGTAGCTTTCTGGCTGATTTGCATTAGATTGGCAAGGAGTGTTGGCTCTCACTTTTTAAAATCTGGCTTCCAGTTTGCTACCAGGCTATGTTCAAGGTGCCAGTTTTGGTGTGTAGCTTGAGATGAGGATACCAGATAGATCATCTCACTCTGTATTTACCCAGCTGATCATATGAAGATAGCTCAAGGTAGCTATTGGTGTGGAAGCACAGTTCAATTCTGATACTCAAAACAAATACCTGGGCTCATTCTCTGTCTTTTGCAGCAGGCTCTTATTGGTGGATCTTGGGATTCTGCAAAATAATAATAATAATAATAACAACGAAGTAGTTTCCACAAGCCTGAAACCTGGCCGCCCATGTGCTAGTCACTGATCACAAAAGATCCATAAGAGCAGCTGGTTGACATTCTACCATTATAAATCTTCAACACTGTACCTATTTTCATTCCCCTCTGGTCTCCCACTCCACCTGTCACACAGCTTTCCCCTCGATGTTATTTATGTAGGGTGTCTTTATTAAGTATATGTGCCAAGAGTAGGAAGAATTCCTGCTTCCTTTTTCTATCATACTCTGTGATTGCTTTGGGGAGACTTGTTCCATCAATAATTCTTTCCAGCTTTCTTGATTGACCATAGGTATTGCTTATTGAAAAGTCACCCAGTGAAGGGTGGTATTGGATTTGGCCAGACTTCTGGCAGCACATATATTATGTTTGAATTCGCAAGCAGTCTGTGAAAAACATTTTGGGGTGGTGGAGGAATCACACTTTGGGAATTGGTTTTCCATAATACCTTTTTCCAAGTCCCTGTGCGTATGAGTAAAATAGTAACTCCTTATTAGGGCAGAACAAATCTTTGAAAGTCATTCATTCCTTGTATTAAATGGATTTGTATCCTAACAGATGTTAAGAAGTTAGAGCTGCTGACATGAGTTAATTTACAATCAGAACTATGTAAAACCAAAGCCTTGAGTATTTTGGAAAGAAAACCAGGAGGTGGCAGCATAATGCTATCTCTTTGCCTAGTTTATTTATTTATTTATAATGTTAATATTGCAAACAGCAAAAAGAAAAAGGAAATAAAAGAAAAACCGTCAGCTCACATTAGCAATAAAAAACCCCCCATCAATTTTGGCTGAAACATATATAATAATATAAGCAGTTTTTATCTCCAAACAACGAGATTTATGATGATAAATCTGTTCAAATGTAGAAAGGGCAGTGAGAGCTTCAAACCACTGAGTCATGGGTGGTGGGCGTTTATCCTTCCAGCCTTCAAGTGTCAGTCGCTTTGCAACCATAAGAGCTTGCAGGATTGATGGTGCTAGTTCCCACATCACAGCAATATATTGTCTGCGAACATCCACAGGATTTCCTCCACCACACCACACCCCCCAAGCAAAGTTAATATGAACAACAATTTCTGACCAGGAAAAAGGCACCGCAGGACATACCCACATCAAATGCCTTCAGCGAATAATAGATTACTCGCAACAGCAAACGTGGGTGTCAACCCCTCCCTTCCCAGTATGTAGTATAGCTATATTTAGCAGTATGTAGTATAGCTATATTTAGTCTTGTTTCACAATGGGGTAAAATACCTAATCATAAACTAGTTTACTTTTGGTGATTAGAATAAAAATTCTTAAGAACTTTGTGTCATGCAAATGACCATGGCTGTCTTTCCTCTAGCTACCTAAATAACATGCCATTCACTTGTTCTCAAAGATAGTTCTAGCATTTTCAAGTTTGCGTACATCTCTGAAACTACTTTGGCCTTTTTTTTTTTTTTGCAATTTGCTTTATTAAGCAAAGCAAATTTGCTTTATTAAGTAAAGCAAAAGAACATCTTTTTTAAAAAGTATTTTATTGCTTTTTCACATATAACAAATGTTGTATAAAATACAATAAATAGCAATAATAGTAGCTAAACCAGGCATAGGCAAACTCGGCCCTCCAGATGTTTTGGGACTACAACTCCCATCAGTAGTTAGGGATGATGGGAGTTGTAGTCCCAAAACATCTGGAGGGCTGAGTTTGCCTATGCCTAAGCTAAACCCTGAATCTTGAGGTAAAGCGGGATGCCTTGGAGATATTTAGGACTTTTCCACAGCAAAGTGGCATCTCTGCAAGGTGGTTATGAGCTGAAGCAGTAACTCCTGAAGCATTTTGTGGCACCTTGGTGATCCACATATTAAAAAAAATAAAATGCTGCAGACAAAGTCTGCTGAAAGCAAAAAGCACTGGGTTGTATCCAAAGCATCACTAAGTCAAGGTCCCATCAGTGCAAATATTTTCATTTGTGCAATGGGACTTCCCCTGCTCTACCCCTGCTTGCCCCCTAAATCTGTTCTAGGGAGCAGATTAGGGGAGGGTGTGGGGCATGCAGGAAAGAGGAGGAGAGGTGGGACAAATCCTGTTGTGTAAGTGGAAATCCTCGTGCTAATGGGACACATTACTGTAGTTGAATACCACCCAGGAACTATAAGCTTATCATAACACCCAGGATAGGAAGATGGGAGAAGGATGAATAAGCATCACAGCGGGGACAGGGCGCAGAGGAAAAGGTCCATTGTGATTGACAGGTCCAGCTTGTAATGGAAGGAAATTCTTTACTTCTATTCACCAGTCCCTGGGCTTTGAGTGGAAGGAGTTTTGCAAGAGGAAAACCTTTGTCATTAAGCTTAGGGACAACATCATAATGTAAAGCAAGGAGAGATGGTTCTTTCATGACTGACAAGTCTAACTTGTAACTGGAGAGAATGATTTTTACTCCCTGGCAGAGTTTCTTTTCGTACTTCCTATCCCACATCCAACTTTAAAGATGTCTAGTACAAAAGTCCTCTGGACCACTTGTCAGCAATTTGGCAAGTTTCTTGCTCCAGGGACCTCTCTCGTGCCTTCAATTTTCAGACCAATTGCCCACGAAACATTATATCCACTTTGGAGGGGCTATGATGCTTGCAAATTTAATCAACTTCTGTCAAAAGCTTGGGAAAGGTTATGGCCATTGTTTGATTTCCCCATAGAGAATGGCAGAGGAAGGGAATCAAGTGGACTTGGACCCCTGGGTCGAATTGAGCAGCCTCTGTATTGGCTTGAGCTGAATTGCGTTATGAAGTGCCAAATTCACATCCCAACATATATATGGCACTTATTTAAACTGAGCAATCTGATCCAGTCCTAACACCAAAGATCAGTAACGATGACAACAATTACAATTATACAATCAAGATACTGTACATGCTGGGGCCCCCACCTCCCTGACTTGAAGGACAAGCCAACCCCAACGAAGCCTGTTTACGTCCCATTGATTTCATTATCACGTGCTTTGCTCTCTCACCAGTTGTACTTAATGGGTCTTCCCTTTGGCTAGATTGTGTCATCTTCCTTGCTATTAATGTTCACAGTTCTAATTCAGGAGAATGATCAAGAACCCGTTCTTCATGAAGAGTTATAAACCTTCTTCCAAATCAGGGTACCCACGTGTTGCGTGTTATAGAGGACAGCCTGACTCTTCTGCTTGAAGTGGTGTCCAGTCCAAGTCTGCTTTAAAGATAAAGCACCGTAAGAAGGGAGAGCAGAAGGGGCCTTGAAGTTGCCTGTCAACAGTGTTAGCACCAGGACTGATTACAGGCTTCCCCACTGTAGCGGGATATACTATTTCTTTAAATGATAGTAAATCTTATTTTTTAAATTATAACATACATTAGCATATTCAAGTTTTATATGAAATCAACCTTTTTCTGTCCTCTTTTCTTTTGTGAAGCATTTTATCTATTATAATGATCTGTGTGTAGCCACCCTACTCCCAATTTTGACAAATCTGAATGACTGCTCTTTTTCATGTGGAGGAGTGCCTGTCAGCATTGCCCAGGAAGGAACTCCATACTTTCCCGGATATATCCTCCTTTTCTTGCAACTGGAAAGTCCATATTTTTCACTTCCGAAGGAGATCTATGTTTCAGTTTGTGTGCTCAAGGGCTCACTGCATGGCCTTGGCCCCAGCCGCTGTCTTTCAGCCTAGCCTATCTCACAGGATTGTTGTGAGCATTCAATGGGGAGCAGAGCCATGTATACTACAACCCTTAGCTCCTGGAAGGAGAAGGGGAGATGTAACGGTAATAAATGAATAATCACTTTTTGCAGATTCCTATATCACAACCTTCCCAGAATCTGTTTACCTCTCCATCTGCTGTTGGTTTGCAAGAACTAGGCTTGCTTTTCTGCTTTTGTCGTAGTTTGAACCTCTGCTGCTGCTATTGAAGACGTGAGCTAGATGTTTGCTGAGGCAGGCCAAGCTGGAGGAAGCACTGGACTGTTTGATTCCTCAGGAGGCTGAAGAGAAATTTCATGCCATCACATTATTTTTTCCTAATCAAACACTCTAACAAGATTAATCTAAATGATTCCATCAATTCCTTTTGGTGTTTTAAAACAAAGCCTAATTATAATTTCAGATTTTTGAGTCCTCAGAAATTAGATCAGATCAATATTTTCCTGCAAGTGTTTGAAAGTCTGACTCAATTTAAATTTCTACTTTTCCTGTCTGGTAATCGTTCAGCTTTGTTTACTCCTAAATGAGCAGTTTTCCTCTCTTTCTCTGCAGTATCTCATCTGTCCCCCTCTTCTTCTGTAATTAAATATTTGTAACCAGTGCTGTGTTGTAATCCTGATAGGCAATGTGCCACAAAAAAATGCTTCAGGTAAAGAGAGATTCAGTGAAACTATGCTTTTGAGAGCTTCTATCCCTGTTTTCCAAGGATTACCCATAGTAACACAGGAGGCTGCCATATAACAAATCATACCATTGGTCCATCTTGCTTAGTATTGTCTGCTCTGACTTGCAGAGGCTCTTCAGGGTTTCAGGCAGGAGGCATTTTCAGTCCAGCCCAACCTGGAGATGCCAGGGATTGAACCTGGGATCTTCTGCATGCAAGGCGGTTGCTCTTACAATAGGCCACAGTGCTTCCCTAGTAGTATACTACTATTACTACTACTATTATAGCTTCCTCTGATAGACCATGTTAATACTGAAAATATATATATGTGGCAGTAGTTATTTTACAATGCAGGCCAATTCTGAAGATTTCGAGGAGACAGATGTTTAGGAATAGCCTGCTTTAAGATGAAACTTCATGAAAAGTAGCAAGTGGAACCTCTGTGGGTCGGGGAAAAGGTTAGGCCCCATTGACCCCTGTGTTTAATAGGGAATGTCCTACAGCAGTGAAGGGACTGATGTAGTAAAATAGCCTTATTAGCAACAGGGATCATCTGGTAACTATGAATGAGGAGAAAGAGATTGATTTTGCATACCATAAAATTGCTCAGCTATCTGTTATTACTAAAAACGTGGTGTTTAGAGCCAATAAACTGGCCATGGTGTAGCTGGAACCAAGGAATAATCACACGTGTGAACTGCAACACAGCAGTTTCTCCTTTGCCATTTGGTTACTCAAGGTTCTGTAAGGTTCCTCCTTGTTTCAGTGGAGACTGGTCCATCAGGACTGCCCCATCAACCTCAGTCTACGGTCAGCCAGTCCTCATCTGGCCTCATACTTACAACTTGTCCAGGGGCTATCACTGAATGTCCACATTCCCCTCCTTGGTCTCAGTCATGCCATTGTGGAACTTGGTGAGGAGGAGGATGTAGATACAACTAAAAGTGGTTGGCTCCCCTTCTCATTAGCTCTGGCTGCCTGCTTTCTGTCCCATCAGTCCCATAGGCACCAGCCCCTGCGGCTTTCTTCTCTCCTATATTTCACAGCAGGGCCAATGATGTTGTCTTTTGGGCACTATTTGCCAATCATTTGAAGGCCAAATAACTAAGCTTTTCTCAAAGAACCATTCACCCAAAAAAGTAAGCTGAGGAAGAGGGAGTTTACATTCACATGCATGTCTAAAGATTAAACTGCTACCTTAGGATAGTGCCATAATACTTTAATTATTACCAACCAGAATGTCACAAAATAGTGAATAAGCATTTGAGTTCATTCAGATTGGATGGTAAGCAAAAGGGTTGTGGGTATAAGGGGTAGGGAATAGGTTTGGTATTGAAACCAGGGTGTATGCAGTATTCAAAACCTTATTTTTGCAATAATACAGTCTAAGAATGGTGTGCCATGAAAAGATTCTGCCCTTCAGAGATTACCACTACATTGCTGAATATGAAGCATGACTTCTTAAGATCATACTGTACTTCCAGGGGAGGGGACTTAAAGTGACGCCCTCCTAAGTTACACAAACATTCTCACTGTGCAAATAAATGTGCATGTTTTGAAAGCGCCTGCAGTATTTTATTGCTCGATTAATAACATTTTAGCCATATAAATAAAGTGGCATTTGCAACTGAACGTGAATGTGAGAATGTTGGGGGATATAACCCGACGAGGAGCTCTGCCTCCCTTCACATCTGTTCCTCTATTTGTTCAATTTGCATTTTTAAATTAATTCCATTATTCTTATGGAGCCCCAGCCTTCTCTCCTGTCCTTTCAGCATCTGTCCCCGTGACACCTTCCTTGATTCCAAACCTTGAGAAATAAAAGCAGCTCTGCGGACCAGCTGGTAGGAGAGAGCCCTGTAGCTGTCCTCTGATTCCCATGTGGCTCCCCTGAGCGATGTTCTTTTGAAATACTAACAGCATCTCTGGGCTGCTCCAGATTCTTGATTAAACTCAGCCTTTCTAGTCAACAGCTGAAAGGGACGGCATCTTTAATAATTTCTTTAATTCCTTTTTGGCTGGGAAAGTGTAAAAATCAAAGCCCACCAAGTTTTTGTTCCCCAGAGAAAGCACAAGCTTTTTATTTTATTTTGAAATTGCTCCATGAAAGTAGTAAGAAAACTTCTCAGTGTGTGTGTGTGTGTGTGTGTGTGTGTGTGTGTGTGTGTAAAAAATAGGAAATCCATAACAGCTGTCCAAGGATTAAGAAACAGCGGGAGGTGCCAGGAGTGTGCTACAGCTTGGAAAATTCATAATAATAACAATCATTATTAGGATTCCTAAAGTGTCCAAGAGTGTTCAGAGCAATTACTTGCTTTATTTAAACATTTTTCATCCCATCCTTCAGCACAAGCGCTCTCAAAACAGCTAACAAATCCAAAGGTCCTCCTCTGCCCCTTTTATCCTCACGACAGCCCTGTTGGTAGGCCAAAATGAAAGTTGGTGAAGGGCAGGTAATAAACAAATTAACAACAACATCAATGCTCAGGGATGATGAGAGCTGGAATCCAGAAAACCTGAGGTACTGCAGGTTTCCCATAATCTCACTGTTTGCTTCTGAGAGGAGCCATTCCTGTAAGTTTAGTGGGATGGATGTGGCACTACGTATTTGGGACAGGAGGTCTTTTTTGATACACAGGCTAAATAGAGGCACTGAACTGTTTTTAATGAATTTTTCACCTTACTTGCTCCTTCCAGTGAGCAAAGTTTTTAAACAGCTGCAGGGTTGTTGCCCTTGCCGTGACTGAAACTTACATACTCTTTCATTTGGCCCCAACCCCCCCCCTCGAATTTAGCTTTTGAGGACTGAGAAGGTCTCTTTCATCTCCCCTCATTGTTGGATCTGTAAAATGTGCAGACCCAGGTTTTGTTTGGTTTTTGAAATGTTAATTCATTACTTTCTGTTCTCTTTTCTTTGTTGGTTATTTCATGCAGCATTTGTCTGGAGGCAGCTTGGGGGTGAGTCTCAGAGTCTCTTCGCTGTGCTAACATTTGAGAAACCAACAGAGTATTGAGCTTAATAGTGGAGATCACTTTGGTTCTGCTCACTGAGAACTCCTGAAATGGGCCCATTGGAGAGAGGTGCAGAAATCATCATAATACAATACAGTGGTACCTCGGGTTAAGTACTTAATTTGTTCCGGAGATCCGTTCTTAACCTGAAACTGTTCTTAACCTGAAGCATCACTTTAGCTAATGGGGCCTCCCGCTGCCGCTGCTCCACTGCTGTGCGATTTCTGTTCTCATCCTGAAGCAAAGTTCTTAACCCGAGGTACTATTTCTGGGTTAGTGGAGTCTGTAACCTGAAGCGTATGTAACCTGAGGTACCACTGTATTGTGAAACATCCCTGCAGCTGTTGAACAATCTCATTTGCACAAGTTGTTTATACCTTCTGCATTGGATGTCTTATGTTCAAAAGGCATGCCATTGCGTACTTTGAGGTATGCATCTAGGTTATTTCCACCCTTGGGTTTTTCAGAGTTTTGCCTTTCCCGTGTTGTAGGTCACTAGTGTGCCGGCCAGTACCTTCTAAGACAACTATTTAAAGTTGCAGTGATCTTCCCTTAAAAATCCACAATGCACAAGGGAGTGGGATGTACTCTACATAGTGCTAACTTAAAGTCACTCAGCAGTATACTTGCTTTTTGGTGAAATCTTTTGCACTAGTGGAACACCTTTGCACAAGAGAATGCAAGTTGCTGGTAACTTTGTCACACAATCATGAGATTCTTAAGATACCCTGTGTTTTCAGATCTGAGAGGAAAAAAAATAGTGAATCTAGATAAATTTGGTATTAGTCAGAGTCTTAAGAAGAATTCTTTGCTCACTGTGAATCAGAGGTTTGGCAACTTGGGAATCAGAGCTGGAGGAAACATAACAATGCAAATGCTAACAAGAAAAAAGAATGTTACCAGTTTCATAGTTCAGTCCTATGCAAGGTAGTTCAGAGGTCATTGTTGACTGTGCTCAGTTTCCTTCTAGGGGTGTAGCTTAAGGGTCTTTTCACGCAAGACTTAAATTTAACACAAGGCTGTGACTTCAGTTGACCTCTAATACAATTCTAAACTCATTTCAAGGCGAGTCAAGCTCTTTCAAAACAATTCTTGTCATTTCACAACAGCCCTAAACATCTATTGAGACTGATATAAAGGAGCAATCAACAAACAGTGATGAGATTCTGTAGTGTGTTTGCTTTCAAATTTGGAGCCTATCTTTCCAGGCAAGCATGAACGGCAGAAACAACACTGACCCCCACAAAGCATGGGCGTAGCCAGGATTTTTGTTGGGGGGGCAGGACTTGGTTGGAGAGGGCATACCCAATGTGATTGGCCAGTTAAGCATTTCTATTGTTTTACTTGATTGGGGGTGGGGGAGAGCTGCTCCCCTGCCCTCCCTGGGCTATGCCCATGCCACAAAGCAAATTTTGTTCGGTTGAGGTTTTTTTGGTGGGGGTGTCATTTCAACTTGCTTAAGAGGAATAGTTGTAGCCTCTTCTGCCCCAGGCTTCACACTGGAAGTTTTGGGAGCCATACGAAGTACCATATATAATGTGTGCATGCCCACCCCCCATTCTGCAACTAGAATCAAATGGCATGGACACATTTGCACATACTTTTTGGTTATACTTTATTCTGCTTCTTCCCCCTAGGAGACAGAACACAGAACTCCAAGGAAAGCAGGCGGCCTGCTCCCCAAACACTGGCATTGCTCTGTCTTTGCTTTCTACATCATTCCTGTAGGATTGCCTAAGCAGCCTTTTCAAGAGCAGGGCAGTGGTGTGGTGGCGTCTCTCACAAAAGAGACTACCTGATCTCTCCAACCACTGTTCCCCACTACTATGCAAAGTATTTTATTTAAGCAGGAGCAGAAAGTGTAGTTTGCAACTTTAAGGTCCATATGGCCCACGTCTGAATTTGAAAGAGTTTTGTATCATCAGCTCCAGCCAGCACTACCAATTGTCCTGGATGGTGAGTTGTAGCCCAACAACATTTGGAGGGCAACTGATTCCCCATCTCTGATGCAAATGTGACCTTTACATGAGGGAGGTACTGCAAGATCTCCCTTGCAGTACCTGTTGGTTAAACAAATGTATCCATTAAGTCTTGTGACTCAGCCCATCTCGATCTGGTGTGGAAGTTGGTGACAGATAAGCCCTTTCTTGATCCCATTTGATTCAGTTAGTCATACTTGAGTAGACCCACTGATTTATATGTAACTCATTGGAAGATCACCAACTAACTAGAATGCTTGGGTTGAACTGAAAGAATCACACAAGGAGCTTATTTTGTACATGTGCTGCTCAATGACACACTACAGAATATTTCAAAGGATTGCAGGGGATTTATTGATCTTACCTTTGGTCCAGAAGTCACAAATGCAAGGTGTTTGTTAAAAACCATATCCTTAGCTCATTGGTTTCTTATGCCTGAAAGGTAGGACGACTGCTGTAGGGATCCTAAGTTGGAGACTCTTTTTGCGAAATTATTAAATGAGGAGGCACTGTCATGTTCATCAAGACTCCCAAGCTCACATGAACGTTGGGATGAGCTGAGCTGAGATTACTCCACTAGAGGCCGATTGAGCTAACTGCTCTACAGCAGCTCTTCGCTCCCTAGGATTCTAGTACAAATAGTGTCATATTGCTTCTTCCCATTTCCTAAGCCTAAGACCTTCCAATCATGTCACCAAATCTTGTAAGAATGGTGCTGTGCCTTGGGGAGAAGGGGTTGAATAGAATTGTAGAGTTGAAAGGGCTGCCAAGGGCCTTCTAGTCCAACTCCCTGCAATGCAGGAATTTCAACTAAAGCATCCATGACAGATGGCCATCCAACCTCTGCTTAAAAAGCAACGAAGGAGAGTCCACAAAAAAGAAGCAACGTTGCCCCTCCACCGGTTTACAAGACTGACAGAGACTAACTGACAGCAGGGGTGCGTATTCCTTAAGGAAAAAATAGCGGGGCAGTAGATTACACACACATAGATATTAGCACATTATTGGGGGAGTGGCTTTATGGGGCACCAAAAATCACTTGGGCAAGGACTGGATATAGCTTGCAGGCTGCAGTTTAGCTACTTCTGGTTTAGTTGGTAAGTACTGCTCCTGCCAACCTAGCAGTTCAAAAGCACGTCAAAAGGGCAAGTAGATAAATAGGTACCGCTCCGGCGGGAAGGTAAATGGCGCTTCCGTGCGCTGCTCTGGTTCGCCAGAAGCGGCTTAGTCATGCTGGCCACATGACCCGGAAGCTGTACGCTAGCTCCCTTGGCCAATAAAGCGAGATGAGCGCCGCAACCCCAGAGTCGTCCGTGACTGGACCTAACGGTCAGGGGTCCCTTTACCCTTTACCTTACTGCAGTAGAAATAAATCTACAGAACCAGTTTTGGTTCATTACCTTCCATACAGCTATCCAGCATAAATTTTCCTCTTTACAGGAAATTTAACTCTTTTGGCACTTCAGTGCAAGGAAAAAAATCCACCAAAATAAGAGGCTGTATTAAAAGACTTTATTCACAATAGATTTTTTTTGTTTTGTTTTACAAATATAGTTCTTAAAAAGTAAGCATTTTGTTCTCTTATAACTTCAGAGATTTCTATAAAGGTGGAAGAAAACTAAGTGGGATATGCAGAAATAATAATTAAAAAAATACACAATATGACCACACAAGTTTACTGAATCAACAAGGTGTCACTGGGTATCATAGAGCTGTCATATAAACAAACATGGACTTTAAATTCGCATTTCTCAGGATTTAATATATATTTAAACAACTGCAGTGTGATATGCTGAAGAGCAATGTAAATTTAGACACTGTTGAAACAGGAAGAGACACTTTAAAAAAGTTAAAAATTGCCTTAAATTACATATACAGTGGTCAGCATTAGCTCAGTCACCCATAGTTACTCCTACTGAATGTAAACACAGTGTTATTTCCAGCTTGATTGTGTGACAATTTCTAGGAAATACTAAAAGTTAATTCTGAAGCTATTTACACCACTGTAAATAATTTCAGGACTGTAGCTACAACTTTTTAAATGGTGATCACTCTGAAGTTTTATACTTTGGTGTTTTGTGTTAACATAATTTACTGCTTTGAAGATATAAAAACATGTTTCTCTTACACTTTGCAGTTCTACAGGGAGATACAATCTTCTTGTCTACTTACATCACTTTACAAAAAAGGTACATTATAGTGCAGCTTGTACATACAACCTGATTACTGTATGTTATAGAAACATTGTGCTCTTTCAAATAATAAGACCAATGAACAAAAAACTACCATAATCACAACTTCCCATAAAGAGAAATATGTAACTGATCAAAACACTTGTGTCAAATACATTAGGGAAAATAAACCTGGTGAAATAATCACTAAATTGCCTGCAAGAGGAAAATAAGAAATATCCAGTACAATTCCTGCTGCATTTATAAATTTCTATTTCCACTCTGTTTATAGTGACTGACAAAAAAAAAGTTTCACAGACGCACAGTAACCATTTCACACATTTGGCCAGGTTCCCTCAAAATGGCACCAGTGGGTTTTGATGAGGTCCACACTGGAAGATTGGCAACAAATAGGGGAGAAATCTATGCATTAGACCAGGCATAGGGAGACTTGGCCCTCCAGATGTTTGGAGACTACAACTCCCACCATCCCTTGCTAACAGGACCAGATGTCAGGGATGATGGGAGTTGTACTCCCAAAACATCTGGAAGGCCGAGTTTGCCTATGCCTGCATTAGGCAATAAAAGATGCCAACTGGAACTGAACCACTGACAAAATACTACTGTTAGAGTGTGTTGGAAAAATGATTCCCTTTAAAGGGTTCTATCAGGACATTTTTGAGAAACAGGATGCTTAAGGTGTGGTGTATCCTGCCTAGAATATGGGGTTGGACTGAATATTATTTTTAACAATTCACTACATATGGCATTACACAGTTTGAGGGCTATAGGGTTTACTGAGCTTTGCTTAACCAGACAATACTTCTATGTATGAGCATTTGCTGAAAGCCCAGAAAAGCAAGTTACAAAGGGCTACTTAAGTTCAATGATGCCGTCTCTTGGAATGTTTAAAAGCTTATTAAACTGAACAGAAAATACTATCTGGATTGTGGCCTTTGAAAATCAGGACAATTTCTCTTAGCTGTACATAGCAGATTATATATCTACAGAACATTTTTTAAACAAAATGATCCAGATTTATATGTGAAGAGGAGAAGCAATCAATTGGCACAAAAAAAGGGCGTGTAACTCTACAAGGCAGCCTGTTTAAAATGGAGGCTGGCAGGACTTCAGTCAGAAGGCAGAAATGGAATACTATATTAGAAAACTGAAAACCATACTAGGTAATCCAAGATCACTGCCATTTTTATTGGCTCAGTCTTAGAAGACTCCCTCTGCTTATGGTTCTAACGTTTATTCCTCATACAGGATCTCAAATGGGATAATTCACATTCTACTACTATGCCTCTGTGGGAGAATTTGCCCACTGACACTAGCTTCCACAGAAAGTAAGAGGGATTCTTCCATTGAACCTGTAACTTAAGCTTGGGAAATCATTTAAAAAGATCATTAAAAATAAAAAAAAACCTTACACAGTTAGCAACTTTCAAAAATTTGGTGACTCTGCAGCCCTACATTTAATTGATGTCTTGCATTTGCTTTTCCATTTTAGGTTTTGAAGAACCAATTAACCTTAAAAACAGAGGTCTGCCAGTCAACATCAGCAGACTTACAGCATTCCAAGTTACCAGATGAGAACACCTGTATGGCTGAGTATATTTTGATCCTGTCCTCTTGCTTGTGTGTTGCATATATTTTCTTTATATGGCAAAAGCCACCACTATTTGCTTAAAAAAATTAGCGAATTTAATTCCATTCTGCATTTAGACTTTGAATATACACACAATAGTGCTTTGGGTGATACAATAGGATGTTCTTTGTAGTTTGAAAAATGCATTATCGCCTGTGAGCTAGAAATAAACCAGAAGCTCCTTTCCCCTTCATTCCTTCAAAAGGGGGGGGGGGGAAGGATAAAATATGAAGTTTCTCATAACAGATAGTAAATAATGTTTAGATTTACCACAGTATTGATTTTCTATACATCAGGCTATCCAACTATTTTCAAATAAAAATGTTTAACGTGAATAACATCTGAATTAATGTTTCACATAAATGAGTAAAGAATTACGCACACAGACACATAGCAGAAGAGCACAGCATATGAAAGGCTTCTTTTAATTTGTCTAACTGATTTTCTGGACGGTAAAGATGTTAGCAGAAGTCCAGAATCAGAAATGTGACACCGATTCTAGTTAAATAAAGGAAAAAAATGCTTTTATTTTCATTATTATACTTTATTATAGTGGTTCTTGTGATGGCTTAAAAATCCATACAACAACACCATATCCAATTACTTGAACATCAGTCTTGAATAATAATCAAGTTTTAGTGTAAGAAAATTTGCTAGCCAACTCATTTGTAATAACCAGAGATTCATGTGTGCCAGCAACTCGCATGGTTTCCTTTGATTCTTCAGCTGCCATGCCTGATCTTAGAATATTTTTTTTTAAAAAAAATTGGGATGGGTTAGTAGGAATGAATGTAGCACGGAGAGGCACAGAAAGAGGAATCATACTTAAATTTGGGGGGGAATTATTGCTTGTGTTCTCTCACTATTCTACTAGATCGAAATATAAGAGATTTCATTCCTATGGTCTTCACAAATGCTGTGGCATAGCCCTGGGTAAATCTATTATATTGAAAGTTAGAATTGTGTAAAGCTGTTCATCAGCACAAAAACTGATGCAGATTATCTCCAGGTTTTTTTAATCTGTGCATCACTCATTTTATGCACCATTCCAAAAAGTCCTTCAGCTACCAAGGAGTTACCTGTGTTGAATCAAATCTGTGGTTCTCATATTTCTTAGCATAAAAAGGTTTGCAATAGATTAGAATAACAGTGTTGACCTGTTAAATCACAGGCACCTATGTGGCCAAGTAGCTTTACTATATTAATCACTAATTAAAGGCTATTCTGCTCAGAAAGGCATCCCAACTGGTAAACTGGAAAAAGCAGTGCTGTTTCATCCTCTGATTAGACTACTAACCACAGTTATTGAAAAAAAATTGGGCTGTCTCAACCAACATTCCATTTCTGTCACTTTGATTAACACTGATTAATATGAGTACAGAGTAGAATCTTTTTTAAAGCAAAGCATTTAAAGCAGTAGTGGTTTGTTTCCATCTCTCAAATGTGAATGAAAGCTGAAATGTGGATTTCTAAAGCATAGCACCTTCTCTTCCTACTTCCACAGCATTGTTCCTGGTATCTACCAAGTGTCACACAGTGGGATGTCTGAAATGGCAATCAACATACTTGCAACACTAGCCAGTCCTAGTCTCTAAGTGGGCTAAGGCTTAACACAAAGGATTTCACAGATCAACCCATTTCTCATAAGAAATTACAAGTTTCAGGAGAAACCAGGTTGTGCCTTCAAATGCAAATCATGCTGAAACTTTGCAGTAACAGAAGGTTTTGAGAATTGCAGTCTCAAATTGTTGTAGATAAGGGTAAGTTCAGATGGCAGCTACTATGCTCTTGGTGTGGTGGCTGCTTGTGAAACCAAATACAGGAAAAGAAAAAGGGCCCTAAATTTACTTGTATTTAAGTTGATTTGCAGTTATGTTCTAAAATTGTTATTAGATAAGGGTTTCAACATCTGGACTTTGCCTATCAAGAAAAGCCACAGTTTAAAATAATAGTGCACACAGATGAGATGAAACTATTCTTATGAACAGAACACCTTCTAAAGTATTCAAATTACCAATTAATGATAGACCCGCATAAGAAGAGGCTGTCACAGTCAGATTTGTCTCTAGTAATAGACAAACCACATTAACATATATTAAAAAAGAAAAAGCTCTTCATACTTAATTCTTTATGGCTTTTTGCAACACAGCAAAGTATTACAGCTTAAAGCAGACATCTCCTCACAGAGGAGGAAAGGATTTTGCAGTCAAAAACAAAATGGAAAACAAGTAACATGCTGACCTCTGTATTCTATTTGGCCAGATGCATACTGCAGCCTAACAAAATCTAGAGATGACAAGTTACAATTCCTGTCAAAAGATAAATATGTTTAATTATAATTAATTACTTTAGGTCCCTTGTTAAATATTGTACGGGTAGACACCAGACTGCAAAAAATTGGTTCAAAACTAAAAAATGATGGAATTTTAATTACTACATTGTGTGCCCCAAACAGAATTCAGCATTATTTTATTGGCTTTTTCTTTTTTCCTCCTCTTCTTTTTTCAGAACTGGTAGAGGGTGTGCCTCAGTGTTAAAGACCCAATGTTCAAATGGTAGAAGATCATCTTCAGAAAATAATAAATATAGATACCTGGCAAAAAGAAAAGGATATTTAACAAACTACAAAACTGGAAGGCTCACATAGGAATAATAATAGAATCATTTGTATCTCTCAAAACACCTAGATCAATAAAAGTGCAATATATCTTCAATGTGGCATAGTGGTTAGAGTTGAACTAGGACCTGGGAGAACAGGGTTCAAGCTTATTATGTGACTTTGGGCCAGTCTGTGCCTAAACTACCTCACCGGGTTGTTGCGAGGATAAAATGGTACAAGGAAAAACCATGATTGCCACCTGAGCTCCTTGGACGCAAGGTGGGATATAAATAAAGTAAAACAAAATATAAAGGAATAGCTAGGAAAACACCTGACTGCAACTAAATTTTAGTTCCTTTTCTAAGCTCACATTTTTGTGTGTGTGCAAAGCAGTTTAGCACTCAAAATGACACATGGGGAATGAAGAGATTTCCTCTAAGGAAACATGGAAATGCAGCTATGGGACAGTTTTGATCTCCAATATACAGATGCTCCAGAAGCTTAAATGGTGCTTAGAAAGACCCTGTTGCCTCTGGAAGGGATGATATACCGAAGATCAGCCCTGATGGATCAGACCAAAGGCCCATCTAGTTTCCATAGTTTTCACGCAGATGCCAGATGATACTTAGTTGCTCCAGAGCCTCCCCTTTGAGAGCACACAGCCTTCTTCTGTCCCTTCACAAATTATCTATTGGGAACACAGTATTTGTAATAAAGTATTTGTCCAGGCAGTGTTAACTATTCCTTTTAGGTGGGTAGCTTGCCAAATCCACTGCTCAATTTGCTCTGTGACACAGAAAGGAATGACTCCTTCATAAATCAAACCATGCTCAACTATGAAAACTAGATTACTTTGCTGCACAGAACTACATTTCAGATAGTATTTAAGAATTAATGCTTAGGTGTTCAAGTTTGCTTCGAGAGACTTTTGAAAGGGTCTCGCCTACCTGATTTGGAAGCACCTTTACTTCCTTAACATTTCCTTGAGAAGTTCAGACTTCTAGAGAAAAGCAACTGAAACAACTGCATGTAACTAAAGTTTGCCAACCTTCTCTTTCCATCAGCCCCCTCCATCTGCCTGGGCAACTGCTCTCTGTCAGGCTCCACAGATAGTAAAGCTTATACAGTGGTACCTTGGGTTACATATGCTTCAGGTTACAGACTCCGCTAACCCAAAAATAGTGCTTCAGATTAAGAACTTTGCTTCAGGATGATAACAGAAATCGTGCTCCGGCGGCACGGTGGCAGCAGGAGGCCCCATTAGCTAAAATGGTGCTTCAGGTTAAGAACAGTTTCAGGTTAAGAACGGACCTCCGGAACGAATTAAGTACTTAACCCGAGGTACCACTGTATAGCACATAGCCAGAGTTCAAAACATTTCATAAATTCTCACTAATAATATTTATTATTCCCATGTTACAGAAAGTAGGGTTGGGTCAGAAAATGGAGAATTCAAGGTAACTAAGCAAATTTCTATCTGATATGAATTGAATCACAGGACTTTCTAGCACACCTGCTCTGCTAGTATTTGGTTATATCTTGACTTTCTTTCAGTGAGCTCATAGCAGCATAAATGGTTCTCTCCTCCAGTCTATTCTCATAAAACACTGGGGGTAAATGGAGAAACAGGGATGGGTTCAATGCTCAAGGCTGAGTGGGAATTTGACCATGGTTCTCCTAAGTCCTAGGTCCGACACTACCCACATGTCAGTTTTCAGAGGCACAGAACCAAATGACCGCAGTCTCACCCTTACTTGGAACCAATCTGCCTGATCACAGCCCTGGCGTTCCTGGTCACAGTTACATATCTTTGTCCTTGTCTAAACTGACATGCTTGCTGAAGACATCAGCAGTATTCCCTGAAGTCCCCTACTTCTATTCTGGCCCCGAACAGTATTTCCACGCAATTCTTTGCCCAAAAAAAGCAGAACTCATTTTCTCCACCACACACCAAGATTATGTGCAACACTCCCACCTATTAAAATACTATGGCACTTCAGTAAACAAACCATCTTGTCTTTGAAAGACCACTAGTGATAACCTGCTTGCTTCTCCTGGTTCTGACTCCCCATATTCCCATACCCCTTTCTTGTTCTATTGCCCTGTACGCCAGCCCATACAAAGATTAATGACTCTTAGCTCTTCAACTTTTAAACTGAAGGGTTTCAATTGCTTACTTGAGGGTTTCTGAAAGGAAGAAACTCTGCTGCACATCATCATGGGTTTGACGGTTGCTGTAAACATCCCTAACACCAGAATAGCCGCCATCTACTCTGCAGTATTTTTCCAATGCCTGAATTTAAAAAAAGGAAAAGAGGAGTTTGATATTTTATAACTTACACCCTGCGCTTTAATGTAAAACATCTTCAGGGCACCTAATAGCACAAGGTTAAAAATTTAAACGATATAAAATAGCACAATTAAACATCAGCATCACAACAAATGTAAAACAACTGCCCAACTGAAGCCAATAAGACCAGTTAATGATTACTATTTAAAGTCTCATTGATTTTGAGCCATTTAACACACAACTTCAAAATGGAGTCCTCAAATTCCCTACACTGTAGTTTTTTCAAAGGGATACAGTTCCTGAACTCGAAGGACATGCAGAGTGGAAAAACTACCCTCTTTATTCCACACCTAGACAAAGCTCCTATTGTACTGATGTGTTTCCCAGCTCACCAACCATTCTGATGGAAGTCGAAGATACTGAAAGCTACTGGGCACAGTATGACTTGGGACCTAAATACTTGAAGTTATCCTGGTATCTGCTGATGGGGCCCTACTGAGAAGTGCACCAGTGAGTGATTGCAGCTGCTGTTACTATTATGGTTTTACCATTTCAATATTTGTCTGATGTTCATGTTTTGATATTTATGATTACAGTTGCATTGAACTTTATATTTGGCTGTGGTATTTGCTATGTAACTGCTATATATTGCTTTGGGATCACTTTTGACATGACCGGCAGCCAATAAATCCAAGGAATTGGACACTGAATATATTCATGTTAAAATAGAGTGAGGTACTGACGGATACTAAAAAAGAATTAATAGTTATTTTTCAAACAAAAGGAAATAGGAGATTTGTGGAGAACTGTCTGGGATATTTTGTGGGAAACTGCAGTCAAACATAACTATGCATGAGTGCTGGTTAGTACATGAAGGGGTTAAGAACAGAGAAGTTTGTTCCTAGACTCAGGTCACACTTCTCTGATGTGGGAGGAAGTGAAGCCTTCTCTTCCTGTTCCCTCTCTCTGTGCCATGTAACTGGTCAAGAAGATTTGTCTAAGCAAGCGCCAAGCTTAGAGCATGTGTTCGATGCTTTCTGTATTTTCTACCCAAGAGTGTTCTGCCACTGTTCTCCTTGCTGCTGCTTGGACAAATGCAAGAATCTCTGGAACCTCTGGAATATTTTGTAAATAAAGTATTTTAAATGTACTTACCAGTGTGTAGTCAGTTCATTGCAAGAGTGGTAGAAAAAGAGGAACACTGTAAAAGGGTCTACCAACCTATATTCCTATTGATATTGCTGATATTGTGTATTTAAACTCTGCTATTGGGGGCTCTCTTCTGCTACAGAGTGTGCAAAGCTCCATGTTTTGAATCTGGGCAACCAGTGGATTCTTTTGTTAGTTACCCCCCACACGTGGGTCACAAGGATTAATATTTTCCTCCTGTATGTTTAAGACTCATAAGCTGAGTATTTATCAGTATTTCCAGCTAATGCACAAGGTGGGAGGGCACTAAGGAACTAAAATCAAGGAGTTAGAAGCAATGTATAAGGACACTGTTAATGAGGAATTATTTAAGGAATTGGGTAATTATAAAATTCACATGAGGCAGAAAAATCATTAATTTTTACTAGGCAAGCTTATTTTGAGTGAAAATAAAATACATTCTTCAAAATTAAGCCTTTAAAGAAACAAACAAATATATTACCTCTACAGCTTCCCAGCCCCACTGCCGGTACTTTGGATCATGAGTGAATCTCCACATATACATGTAGGTTTCGATAACTTCAGGCCGTAAGATGTAGTATTTTTCATTCTGTCTAGTAGCAATTGCCTCAACTCCACCATCAAACCTGAAGGCTTCTGGTCCCAGCTTCATGCCTACACAAAACAATGTGCAATATCCAAATAAGTCGGCACATGAAAAACTTTCAACTCTTCAGCATGTGGTAGAGCTTTATTAATTTACGTGAATCATTCATATAAGGTTAGTACTATGCCACAGAAATATTTTTGCCATTTCTGAACTCCACTATTCAACGCTTGCGTCACTAATGCATGACATTTTAGTGTGGAGGGCACAAATATTTTGAAAGCATCCCAATAAAACTTATAAAAACACACCTCTTCTATGACATTTATTGATATCCCTGTCCCTTCCAGGGAATAATGCAGACTAAAAACGGCAAACTGGGGAAACAAAACTAGAAGAATGAATCTGCTTAAAAATTGTAGGCAACAATATTTCCAAGCTGAAAGTTGGGTCAAAGATAATGTTGGACTATGAATAGGCCTTATGTATGAACCACTCTAAGTTTTCTAGCAATATTGCTTTCTCTCACTCCAGGTTTTATTGGAAAAGGAAACATGTCCTTGATGAAACTTTAGCTTGAGTATTTAAAATCTTATTATTTTTTGAGTACATAATGCCAATTGGTTGAAAGGGTTTATATGCCAACAGTTTAGCCTGTTTTAAATAGGCTCAACTGATCTCAACTAGAAGTCAGGTTAGGGAACACTCCTTCAGCCGAAATTTGGTAAGCACCCTCACTTTTGACTCTTAGGTGTCTCTTCAATATCTTTTTATACTGACAAGTTTTGCATTGGTTTGAGTTCTTTTAGTCTGGCCCGCCATTTTAATTATTGTTTTGTACTGTTTTTAATGATTTTTGTGTTTTATTGCAGTATACCGCCAGAGACTGTAGCATATAAATACTTTAATAAATATTGATCTGTGCTTGATTCAAGTTCTAGGCAATTCAAAATTAAGCTCTCGCATGCAGTGATCATACTTTGCAGCCAAAGTTGATACAAAAGTCTGCTACTTTCCCCTTTACTGGACAGTTTGGTGTAACTTGGAAGTTTACAAGACAAGTGCCCGTTCCTCTGGAAGCAGAAGCAACTATTAAAATGCTACTGAAATCTACAAAGTAGTCATTGGTAAAGGCAGTTAAGTGCAAGACATTTAAGGAATACATTTAAGGAACATTTAAGGAATACATTTAAATCTGCTGGGAACATGTTGCATCTTTTTAGCTTTTTAAAAATACGTGTAAAAACAAACCCTTTAGAAGTTTTCCCAATGATGTACATGGATATTGGACAACTGTGTACAATATCTATTGAATGTGTTTTAACAGAGGCAAAATGATACATAATGCATGTGTGTTGAAATGGGGAAGCTTCCAAGTAAACTGAGTGGAACTGATTTCTAGCACAGCCTTCTCCAATGTAGCGCCCTCCAGATGTTTTGGACTATGTCTTCCATCACCCCATACCACTGGCCATGCCAGCTGGGGCTGATGAGGAGTTGGAGGTCAACAACATCTTGAAGGCACCAGGTTGGAAAAGCTAGTCTAGCTTTTTACATGTCTGTCAAACTAACACAGGCACTCACTGGCTGATAGCCTACTACAAAACTTGCTACCAGTGTTAAAAGAGAGAGCGAGAAACACTCTTTAGTTAATAAAAAAATAGATTACAGGTAGTTTCATCCTGTACCAATCATAGTTTCAGTGGTGTTGTCTAACTACTTCAAAGACAGAAGGTGGTTGTCAAAAGCAGTTCTACAGCTTATCTTTGAACGCATGACCACTCTGGGTCTTAATATCAAGGGGAACCTCCCCCTCAAAAAACTTCCCTCCAAACAACATACAGTGGTACCTCGGTTTATGAACTTAATCCGTTCCGGAAGTCCGTTCTTAAACCGAAACCGTTTTTAAACCGAGGTGTGCTTTCCTTAATGAGGCCTCCCACCACTGGTGCACTTTCACCATTCGGATTCCGTTCTTAGACCAAGGTAAAGTTCTCAAACTACTTCCAGTTTTGCGGAGTTTATAATCGTTCGTAAACAGGGCTGTTCTTAAACTTAGATACCACTGTACTCTGCTGACTGTAATTTATTTTAACTGTTTTTAATACTAAATTTTAAATTGCTGTAATCTGTGTCATGTGACAAAGGTATTTGAGAGCGGAAGCAGTAAAGGAGTCTAGAAATGTTGTGAAGTGCTGAAAAGCTGAAGAATCACTTAGCATGCTGAATCACTGTGACTCATCTTGAGGGTGACTCATTCTCTGTATAAGTATCGTATCTCTCTGCAGGCAGACTCAGTCAGTCAGTCAGTCAGTCAGTCAGTCAGTGTGTGTGTCTGTGTGTATGGAGCCTGACTCAGAAGTGAAGCCTGTACTCTGTGTGTGCTCTGAAGCTAGTTTAAATCTTCTGTTCACTATGCTGTTTATTTGCAAACAAGTTTTAACAAGGTAAAGCTTTTATTCTTTTACTGAAGAAGACTCTGCATTATTAATTTACGCTGAGCGTCAATCTGCTCTGGGATCTGGTGGTGAAGGGCACGTAAAAATAATAGATGATCCTCGTGGACCCTTCCAACTCTACAAGTCTGCGATTCTGTGATGACAAGTAACACAAATTCAATGCAGAAAAAGTAAAATGTATTAACTATGTTGGGGTGGGGGAAAGCAAAATGCACAGCACTAACCATCAATATAGAAATGGGCAAGTTTGGGGAGGGGGAACCCTCTGGAAAAGAGCTACTCCACAAAGTTTAATGCTTACTTGTGCGATCATAAGACTCGTGACATGTGCGGGCAATTTCAGCACCAAGTTCAATGTGACGTCCAGTTTTATCAGCAGGTGCTCCATCTGCACCCAGAACGAACATCCCTCCAGCAAAGCAAGTGAGGTGGCCCATTTTGTGTTCAAGCAGCCCACCCTTCCACTCAGCAATGTACATCAAACCAGTGCTAGATTTTCGGAGCAGATGGGTTTCAATAGACTAGAAAAATGCAAAAATATTTCTGTATTAGAAATAGACGCTCTGCTAGAAGGCATACTGCAGATCAGAAAGGGTACCAGAGGATGCTGTCGATAGTTAACAAGAAGAATCAAGGAAGTTCTTTTGAGACAGGAAGGCTTCCCTCAGAAACTAGAAGCGTTGCCCAAATTAGAACAATATGAAAAACAAATTTGTACCAAAATGCTAGCAGACGGTAATGGTTGTAAAAAGGAAGCATGTTGCTAAAAACATTAAGACAAACAATAAAATAGTCTTTAAATACATCAGAAGCAGGAAACCAGCTAGGCAGGTGGCTGCATCAATAGAAAGCAGGGGAGGAAAAGGAGTGTACAAAAGAGCTGAATACATTTGTTGTGTCTGTCTTTACTGCCTGAAGTGACATTTTCAGGGCGCGACATGAAGAACCGAGGCAAACAGTGACAAAGGACAAAATTCTAGGCCTTACTGACATATTTAAAATAAACAACTTGCCAGATCCAGATAGTATCTACTTTAGCATTCTTGAACTCTAATGTGAAAAGATTTAGGGGCTTCTTAGTCTGCCTGGCAGCAGTCCCCCTCCCCATAAGCAACTTCCATAGGTTGGTATAGTATTTCATGAAGAATGAGCAGCTGTCATGGCAAGGGCAGATTTCGGCACACACAGTATGTTACTAGTGTTTCACATATGCAGTGGCCTCTGTACAGCATGGGCTTAGTTGACATATCTGATTAAACTTTTTAAAAAGATGGAAACCCAACTTATTATGCTGCCATTTACCTGAGGGAAAGGGCTACATTTAGTACAGGACTGCTTTTAAAAACCCACCATCTTTGAACAGTCACAAATATACATTTTAGTCACAAAGATACATTTTAGTCACAACAGCCAGTGAGGGCTTCATTCAGAAATAATAGATTTTCAATATTTAGTTATTGCTGTTCCTTGTAGCCGTGGGGGGGGGGGGGGAATCCTGCAAGGCCACTACACACATTCCGTCAACTAATGTCAACATAAAAGCTATTGAAAAATGTGATGTCATGTTTTGAAACAGAATTGACAAATGTTTAATAACCATGTGGGTCTGGTTCAAGAGATGCTTTGTGTGAGCAGTCCTGCATCCCTCATGCCCTATCACACACCATTCCGAAATGACCCTCGATCCTGGGAGCAGCTTCTGAGGGGAGGAGTTTGGGAAATCCTTGGCACGCGAGCAGAGTCTATCTATGGGTCAAACCATTACATTTACAGAATTTTTCTACTGCCAAGCATGGAGTAAATTATATGCTTTGTTAGTACTGTACCTCTTTTCACAGATAAATAGGCTTCGGCTAATCTTACAACTAGAGGGAAACTGGGAATCTGACCACCAGACACAGGTACATGATCAGTACAATGTGAAGAAAGATGTAGGAGGAAATCACAGTCTATTCATAAATTAGGAACAATGACATTCATGTAAAGTAGATGAATATACTTAAAAGTTTTGTTTAAAGGAATACATATTCAATCAAAATTTATTGTTTAAAACATTTAAACAATCCAGACACATATGCTGCAAAGCCCCTTTCTTTAGAAGGTGTTTCATATTAGAAAATCTTAAGTAGATTTATATATTTCATTTACCTGAACAGCATCATAATACATCTGCATGCCTTCTTCATCTGTCTTGTCTGACATTAGCCATGCCTTCAGCAAATACTCATAAAAGCTATCTCCAAGCCCTCCAATTGACACATGATCTGAAAAGAAACAAACAGAAAAGCACTCTAAACTAATTTCACCTTCAATTTAAGTGTCTGTACACTCCCCACTTAATTTTAAAGATGAACTGTAAAATAACTCTTTGCACAGTAAAGCCAGAAACCCAATAAATTATTTTAATTTGTAACCCTGCACACACTTATCTAGGTGTAATTGCCATTGAACAAAGTGAGGCTGACTTCCAAGTAGATATGCAAAGGATTGGGCTGCAAGCCATTACTCAGAATAAAAGTGCTCTACAAACAACACTTTTTGATAAGCTGATTATATATAAATCCAATCACTCTGTATTGTATTACTTCAAAATATAGTGCTCTGCGAGCATGAAAGAATGTCAAGCATTTGGCATATTTAGCTGAACTCTACCCCAACATAAAGTTAAAAAGTCCTCCCATTCAACCTGATTTGATGAACTCATTCTATTCTATAGGTGGGACCGACACATGGTTCAAATGCAATGCATACCGTCATCTGGGTTTAAAAAGGTGAACCAGTCTAATTTTAAGTTGACTCTTTAGGTTTGATTTTAAGGCATGTTGTTTGATTTTGCAAGTTGATTCTCCTTTAGGTTAAATAGGAGGCAGTGATACACTTAAGAGTTTTATTGAACCTTTTAAATGAATATTTCTAGGATGATGAGATACATTTTATGCTTTCTTACTTTTTCCAGATCATAGTGCATCTACCTCCTCTAAGGTGGCTAAATATTGTGCTGCTGCATGTAAATTAGACACCAGGGACTAATTGTAGCAAACATCATTTTGTTTTCCGTGTCTGGTGCTTTTATAGTATGATACAGTTACAGTGGTACCTCGGGTTACAGACGCTTCAGGTTACAGACTCCGCTAATCCAGAAATAGTACCTCGGGTTAAGAACTTTGCTTCAGGATGAGAACAGAAGTAGCGCAGCAGCAGTGTGGCGGTAGCGGGAGGCCCCATTAGCTAAAGTGGTGCTTCAGGTTAAGAACAGTTTCCAGTTTCCAGAACGAATTAAGTTCTTAACCTGAGGTACCACTGTACTAGTGATTTTATTGTTAGGGCTCTTTATTTTGTTTTGCTTGATATTTTATATATTTGCAAAAGAATTCTGATCATTGACCATAATGACAGATTTCCTAAATATCAGTCATTGCTATGACTTCAATCACAGCAAAATAGTGAAAGGAAGAATAAAGGGAGTGTTTAACATAGCTAATGAGTAGAATACTGCTGGAGCAATGTGCCCCGTATGGATCAGAAATTTATTTATATTAAATGAAATATGGAAAATTGAGGAGTATGTCTATTCTGGGAGGGGGGGCAGCTTTCCCTTTCACACCTATACCCAATATCCTGAAAATAAGTCTATTTAACTTCATGAAGTTCTTCCTTTCCAAATTATGCCTTCAAAATTGAAAGGACAGACATGCTTGTTTACTCTTTAAGGCTTAAAACCAAACAAGTAATATGACCTACTTTTTCGTATTAAAGGTTTCACCTTTACAGTGTGCATCTTTAACTATCAGCCTGTGACCTGGTATTTAGTTTTCTGAAATGTTACCTTTGCTATCCATTTCCAAAGAAATGTTCTGTGATGGCAAGAAAGAATTATGAAGAACTAACAAAACAGAACACTTTTTTTAAAGTAAAGAAATACCTCATTAATTACATGAGTGTCCACAATACAAAGAAGAAAGAAGCTTTTCTCAGAAGAATGAGTGCACTCTCTGTGATGGAAGGTTGATCTCTGAATAGCAGCATTTAAATGACCTTTGCAGTTTCCTAAATGAATTACCTCAGAAACTCTTGACATTTGCAGACTAAATAGCACAAGCAGAGTCTCATCAATAATAAGTCCTGCTATTATATCCATTATTGCTAGAGACAAATCTAATTGACCCATGACGCTGAAAATCACTTTCAATTTGCAACTGAAGTAACAAAGGCTAAATAAATGTACAGGAACAATAGCAATAAAATAGTTCCGACGTTCGGAACTATAGTACTGCTGGTCTAATTGTAGTAGAAAACATTTTTCCTCACAGTGGCTATTGCTTCAGTCTCAATATTCTCTAAGGCCCAGTGTCAATATTTTGGTGGTATTTAGTAAAAGGTAGGGTGTGCACCAGATTCAGCCAAAGTCCAAACTGAATCAGGTTGATTTGTGTCCTGCCTAGATTGGGTCTAAACAGCAACAAATAACTACAGGGCAGATTGGCTTGTCCCAAAAATATTTGTACAGATCTAGGCCAATCTGTAGCTCCAAACAGTCTCACAGAAAGCCAGGCCAATGTTTCAATTATTAATTCCAATACCATATAAGAATTCTAGTGTGGAGAGAAGGAGATCTGGAGGAAGGATAGCATGATCTCCTCCTACCAAACATGTGCTAATCACAGGCTTACAGAGATGAGCTGGACTTTGCTTCATGCATGCTGCAGGGCTACCTAGAAGGCTCCTGGTGTGTATGAGAAGTCTTAAAATGAGAAACACTTTTGGAAGTCCTGTCTATAAGTGTTTGATGGGTTTGGTTGCATTTCTTCAGCTTGTGTTTGTTTTCTATCGTTTGTCAAACAATCCAAGTTCCCTCGTTTGTTTGTTTTGAAATGTTTGCTGTTTTATTTTTTATTTTATTATCTTCTCATTGCTAAGAATATTGCATTTTGATTATCTATTGCCAACCACAAACTACAAGAAGGATCTAGCTTGTGTTCTGTAGCCTAGAGGTGTTTTACCTTTTTATTTCATTTACTTTCTTTTGCATTACTTTCATTTTTATTTCATTTACTTTTACTTTTGCATTACTTTCTATGGGAAAGCGCACCTTGGTTTTGTAACGCTTTGGTTTTGTAACAGACTGCCGGAACAGATTAAGTTTGAGAACCAAGGTACCACTGTATTTGGCATCCAGCAAACCTTGTGGCCACAGCCTACTGAATGCAATATTATCATAATTTATCAGCAAACACAGGAGAATAAGAAATGACATGATTGAGCACTGAGTCTAATTTTTTTTAATTACTTTTTTTGAAAAGCAAATTTTAAAGGTGAACAGCACAAAAAGACCTGCAGCTATCTATCTGCAACTACGCAGTTACTCCCTTCTAGAGAGGTTACCATGCCTCCAGTTTACATGTTTCTATGTCCAAAAAACCAAGTTATTCTAGCTTTTATTCTGCAATGCCAGTCAATGCGATTTTGGAAATTTGTAAAATCAGATCAAGCCTGATCCAGATTTACAAACAGAGCAACAAATCAAATAAATGTGTCTGCAATAACACTTTATGAATTTTGAAATTTTGTATCAGTAAATCTTTTGTTAAATATTTATAATTAACAAGTAAAATAGATACATGTGCTCTCAAGATGACTGCTGCATTTGTAATGAACTGTGTCCAAAGGAATTGTCCCATTCACAAAATGAGTCCCACCTGCGCAAGATAATTTCCCCTCCCTCTTCTCCCCCATGCACCCTCCCCATTCTTTTCTGAGTGTTCCCAAATCCCTCCAGAGGAGATGGGAGAGGGAGGGGAGATTCATTGTGCTTGCATGAACAGAACAACTTTGCTATAACCACTTATAAATTATGAAAATGCATTTATATTTCCTGAAAACAAAACTATCTTAATTATTTTGGTTCAGAGTATATTTAGTGTACATTTTATAAACAAACACAAGTAATGAAGGGACAAAGAAAAGCCACATTGACAGTATAGTTCAAGTAGCTTTTTAAAAAGTCTTTTAAACGTTTTGTCTTTAAACAAAATAACGGAAATGTGTGCATACCGCCAGTGAAAATGATATACTTACGTTGACCCCATTGACCACTACTTGGATTTAGGTAATTAGGATAAAGACCTTCTGGCTTATCCAATCGTTTTAAAACTTTTCTAATGTTCATAACCTATGTCAAATAACAAAAACAATCATGGTGTTTCAAATGCACACTTTTTGGTGTATTTTACATAAAGAATTTATTCTTTGCAAAAAGAAAAGAAATGTATGACTATTCAAACTTAAGGGAAGCAACTCTTTCAAGAGTACTGGATTATATTCTAACTAAACTTCTGCTGACAGTCTCATGAGCAGAGTTTTGCTTTTGGGACACATTCCACAGTGAAAAGGAAGGAGGAAAGAGGAAAGGCTTTTTGCCAATCTTTCCTTCCCACTGCAGCCCCTTGAAAATCTGCTTGAAAATCATGGGAAGCAACAAAATGGGAAGAGGAGATTGACAAAAATGCTGCCCCGCCCATACTCCAACCAGACCTTCTGCAGGATTCCAGTTGCCTATATAAACAGAAGCAACCCTTCCATTTGCAGATGAGTTGTTAGGATTCAAGCCATCATTTTATACTGGCTTGCACTCTCCCCCGTCCCACTCTCTCACACAGCCCATACTGGGATGGACATCGTCCAGAGCTATTTTGTGTAGCTAATTAATGACTTCTTGCTAGATTAGTGTTGAACATTAGCTGCAAAGTAATCTGGTTCCGTAACTCCTCAATATATGTTTGAGAACCTATGGCTGCATTTGAACTTGGGTATTCAGTAACTATAGTTAAAAAATGCAAATAACCTGTGCACAAGCTGCTTGCTGTCCTAGCAATCCTGTTTTGCTGCTCCTTGAGCTGAGCAAGGAAACAAACCACAAACTGGTTGGCTTAGCATTATATCCAAACCAGCTGTTTGTTTCACTCTCTAAACCCGAAGCCAAGGTTTGTTCTTAGTTGCAGATTGTGGTTTGGAGAGAGAGAGGGAGGGAGGGAGGGAGAGAGAGAGAGAGAGAGGCAAACCAAGAGTGCTGCTTTGGACAAAGCAGCCCTGTATGGTTTGTTTCCCTGATCTACTAAGAGAGCAGAGAAGTGGAAGAGCCTGGGCTGGATGAACAGGCTAATTTGTTAACTGCTTATCATTATATACAAATGAAGCATATGTTTGTAATACAGAATGTATCGGGGGGCAATTATGGGTTGTGTTTCATGTTGGGCTATTACAAATGTTTCATCTGAGCAACTATATCAGCTTGCCAGGCGGAAGGGTGTCCATCCCCCCATGTGCTACTCTAGGGGATCACCCAACCACTTCAGAGCCAATTTCATGGGTGCAGGGGGCACACAAGGGGAGGCCTTACTGCAAAAGCAGCTACACAGGGCTTCCTCTGATGGGGTGAAATATACCTAATAAGCCCTATGTTTTTTATCCCACACTCAAGTTAGCTGGAAAACATTTCTTTTGAATCAGCACCTAAAACAGACTGTTGTGCCATAACAGGCAAGCACAACATGATTTAGGGATGATTACTACCTGTGAAACTACTAACAAGCTGGATACAAAAAAACCTAATGCAGAGAAAATCCACACACGCTTTCTCTCCCTTGTTTGCAGTACAAGGTCAACCTAAGATACTTAAAATGTGTACACTTCTATCATCCTACTATCATAAAACATTTGAAAGAAGTGCTGGAAACCAAATCATTTGTACTCAGAAAATAAGTTCAGAGGATCCAAAGAACAAAAATGGAGATATTCCCGACAACTGGCAATTGTCACACTTCCAAAAGTGTGATGCAACTACTGGCAAAAACTCTTAACTAACCTTTTCAGCAAACACTGGATTTCCAGATAAGTGGCTTAGATGCATAAATTCCAAATGCAGAGTTCCAAATTCCGCCAAAATACTGCTTCCTCCTGAAGCCCAGGGCCAGTTGCGACCAATGCCACTAAAAAGGAAAAAAAAAGTGATGTGAGATTGAGAAATAAAAGTTACATCATAAACTACGTAGTAGCTTGACAAGAAACATAAAAGCCCTGAATACTAAATGCTAAACGCAATAAAAAGCCCCTAATACGCAGTCTCTTATTTAATCACATTTGCATCTCTTCAATGTTCACGTGTACTTTGCTTTTATTTCCTGTTAATGCTGTTAAGCAGTCAGAGCAGCACTTCCTTTGGAGTATGCCTAGTTCACAATACTTAGAAGAGCTGCATTACCAAATCATTTTTATGTGAACCTGAATACCCTCCAAAGAGTGCTGTTCACCTAAATTAGCTATTTGTAACTATAGGATGGAGCCAAAATAAAATGTATTATTCAGTTCCTTTTCAATATTAGCACATTTAACCTATCTGCACTGCTTTGGTACTATTGCAAGTTGAAAGGATGCCCAATTTAGCAATAAGCTCGTTATACACAGACCATGAAGGAGAAGGCTTAGAGATACTAGCCCTTCCCAAGCAGATCTTCTCTTTCCTCCAGAGTACCATACATTACTGTCACATGTTTCCTTGAGTGAACTTCTCTAACAGCCTCAATCCTATGAAATAAGCCCAAATTAGTTCAAAGGTGCTTATGCCCAATGGACGTTGACTCCTTGTCACACTTGGCCAGCTTTATGTGATGAAAACTGAACCAGCATCCATCCTTGGTATTCTCTTCCAGCTCTTGCATGGAACTTACTAGTCTGTCATCTCAGGCTAGTTATGCTCATGAATCAGTTATCCACATGAGTGAACTCTTGACGTGACTATAACTGATGCGAAACCTGTATTTCTTTTCTTCAAAGGTGTCTAAAGCCATTATGGCAAAAAATCCATGTAGTTTATTTTCAAAATAGAAAGTTGTATAAAAATGGAGTCTCTTTTCAAAACTTTAAACTAGGATATTATACTTCATGCTATACCTGATACAAAGCATGGGCTGTTAAACAAAGCATTGACCTTCCAGTGAAATAGAAACCAAATATTACATTAAAAAGCTTTCTGTGTGAATCTTCTGTTACTTATTTTACATTGTGGTTAACAATAAGAACTTCCAAAATAGAAAGCACCAAGGATTTCTAGGTCCACAAGTTCAATACACGATGCGTTTACTTTGAAATTTCTGATGAAAGCAATAAGGCAACCTCTTTCAAGAGTCAGCTGAACAAAATGGAATTCAGTTTTTGAGGCCTTGGGCAAAACTTGATATAAAAATGATCCTGGCCAAGACACTATTTTGCAACAAAACAAATATTCTCAATATGCTTATATTATCATGTACATCCTTGCATGAAAGTAAATCAGACCTGGCTATGGCAATGGACTCTATATGGGGGTACCTTTGCAGACTACAGGAAGCTTCAACCAGTCCAGAATGGAGCAGCAAGAATGTTAGTGGGAGCTCACCCCTGGATCAGGCTACACCTATCCTGTGACAACTGCACTGGTTACATATTTATTTTCATGTACAAGTCAAAATATCAGAGATGGTTTTTAAAACCCCAAATGGCTCTGGCTTAAGATATCTGATGGAATGCCTTCGCCTGTGTGTTGCTAAGCTATGGGAGAGACTCCCATCCATCAGGGAGACTTATTTTACTGTGGAGATAGCAAGGCCTTCTCAGTGGGCAGCCCCCACATTGTGCAACATGTTGTCTGCTGAAGCCTAGGTTGTTCATTCTCTTGTTTTCCATGGGTTTGTGAAGATGCTTTTCTTTCAGCTGGCTTTTGCTGATGGACTATCTGAAGAGACAGTTTTATCTCTGCTTCCTGTTTCTTTTCAGCTGTTCTTGAATGCATTTTGCCTTTACTGGGGCTTTAATGTGAATCTGATCTATTTGTTGTAAACCATCTTAAATTATGTGTATAAGTGTTTTTAAAAATCTTATCTAGATAAATATAAATTACAGTAGAAGAACTGGTAGCAAGAGATTTAGTCTGCAATCCTGTGCATGTTTCCTAAGACTATGGCCCACTGAATACAGTAGGACAGCTAGGTAAAATATGCATGGGACTGAACTTTTAGCTATGTATATTTTCATAGCTGCTTATGATTTATTATTCTCTCTCAACAAAATGGAGATACATCAACACCGCTCAGTGCCTACTTGGAAACCCGAAGAAAAATGTGCAGCACTTCATGTCTGGGATTTATTTTACTTTCATCACCATGAGATAAGTTCAAGAAACTAATAACTATTTTTTATGCATAGGTTGAAATAAAGATAGCAAACTCAACTGTCAAAGAGATGAAAATACCAGAGGGACAGAAACAAAGATCTGCACTTTCTTCCTGCCAGAGGGGCATTCATTAAAATTCTTCAGGTATTTATGCTTTCAAAGTATGTGGGCTTAAATTCAGGGATTTTTTTGTAACAAATTACAGGAATAGTGCTGCTGAAGAGTTTCAGATAATCAGCTGGAGCCAAGGTGTATGAAGCACGTCAAATGTGGGGCAGGCATGGGTAATTTCAGCCAGTAGCAGAAATATGCATTAAAAAAATAATAATACTGTATTTACATACATTTCATAAACATTTAGCTACTTTGGTGAAACAACTGAATGGAAAAGAATAATTATGGAGTTTCTCCAATTATTTGAATATTTCACCTGCAGTTGTAGGCAAATCTGCAGGAATCAACAGAAACTATAAGTTATTTCTTGCCCTACATATACATTTAGGTTGCAATTAAATGCACATTTACCTCAAGTAAGTTCCACTGAACTCAGTAAATGAGAACATCCAATCTTTGTTCCATGCATGAATGAGGAAATGCAGTAGTGCAGTGGGGGGCGGGGGGAAGGAAGGGTGTAGCCCTGGGCACAAATTTCTGAGGGGGTGCAATCAGGCACCATCACCACCAGCTCCCTCATCAAGGCCGGAGCTGTGGGGAGGCAAACCGTGCACAGGCCGGGCCTTCAGGGCTGGGGCAGCACCTCCTTTTCCTCATGGCTGGCAAAGGGACACTTGTGCATGCTCCGCCCCTGGGATGGCCAAGAGGGAGGGATGAAGAAAGCACTGCCAGAGCCACGTGCGTTGCCCAGAGCACCTCGCTGCAGGGACAGGAGGACGAGGTTACACAGTGAAGCTCCTGGCTTCACGTTTCTCTGCCCTCAGGTTGGGGCTAGTTTGCAAGGAGAGATTCCCTTGATTGGATGCTGGCTGGCGAAGGGACTGACTGCTGCCCAGTCCACTAGGGGGCACAACACTTGCCCCGCCCAAGGCACCGGCAACCCATGCTACACCCCTGAAGAAATGTGCATGTGTTTGAGAAAGATAGGAGGAGCAAACCATAGCTTTTCCCATCTTTCTCATACACTTGCCCCAACACATCCCATCAGTAAAAAGCCGTAAGCTGTTTGGTCTCTTACTGTGGCGTGAACCCAACTACCTCAGATGTACAGATGGCTGATTTAGATCTTTATAGTCATCCTTGGCTTACTGTTTTGTGTGTAATGCATCTGTTTATATATGAATGAATAAACATGTCGGACAAAAAAATGCTGCTTTTAAATATGATTAGTCAGTCTTTTCCTAGATTAGCACAATAGTTATTCCATTCAAGAAGCAGGTACATGAAGGCAATTTAATTATTGAAAATCCAGATCCCAGTGCATTTTAAGTACGTACATACTTCTTTAGGTATTGAGTTTATAGCTTAGTTCCTCGTTAGGAAGTACATTCCAGCTCCTGTAAATCTCAAACATACTTTTTATCATCTTTCAGAATACACTTATGCAGCACTGATTAATAAAGGCAAACAATACAAGTTTCCCATTGCTTTATGTGCTAAGGGTTTGATTAATCATTCTTCCTGGAGTTTCACACATAGCAGGGGGGAATAAAATATAAGAAAGCTGTAAGATTATATGTAACAGTGAGAGCCAGCCTTAAAGCAGTTCCCTAAAGCAAAAGCAAGCTGAACACTAAATCAGAGAACCATGAATATGAATCTATTATTCTATGAGCCATGTGATGATAATAAATTATCTCTGAAAAAGAAATCTGTTAGATCTAAATCCCCCTACAACAGCATCTTGTATAATAGGGAGATTCAGTACCAGAACCACTCCAAAGCCGCAGGGAAGTCAAACAGATTAAAAGGCAATTCATTCAACATAGCTGTTGGCATTGGGAAGACAGGTCAGTAACACAGCCCTACTGACTTCTACTGTCAACAGTTTGTACAACCCTTCCAAGTAGCAAAGAAACCTGAAAACAGACTGAATATAAGGGTGATCCCTAACAAAGTCACAGTGTGTAGTGTGTTCCCATTCAGTATTCCTGCTAGTGATTTCCTTTTCAGCATAAGCCATTCAATTCCCCTTCCTGTTTTGAATTCTACCCTCCACCCCTCAGTCAGTCACCATTCTGTGCCCTCTGAGCATGCTCACTCCTCATTGAGCGGTTTGTGTTTCTCTTCTGAAGGTTTTTTCTTAAAACAATAAATAAAAACAAATCTGGTACTTCAACAAGCCTTGAGTTCCCTCAAGTCTGTCTATTTTCGCCATGTCACACACTTTGAGAAGGAGGGTGCAATTAGTAAATATTGATTTAAAAATTGCAATAAAAAGAAGAGTAAATATTTGCACTGTCCTTGCATCAAAAGCTGACTCTCATGCAGGTCACCTTTTTGTCTTTTGTACAATTTGCTATTGTATGATAGAATAAAAAGATGACCAACATAAGAACATGGGTGTGCATAAAAAAAATATACACTAGTTAGTTAGTTAATTTACCATTTGCCAGTTGAAGTAAATTAAGAAAAGAATTGAAATAATTAAGTTACACCAATTTTAGAAAGTCTCAATGTGAAATTCAGGCATATTAACTTTAAACTTAGAATACTGTGGCTTCACTACCTCCTTACAAATATTCAGAGTAGACTTTGAGAAGACTGGACTTCTATTCAACTGAGACCACAAAAGTTGTTTCAGTTTGCAGAATGTCTGCAAATTGCAACAAATGAGGAAAATGAGAGAGCAATTATGTATCATCTCATGTTATGTATTCACACAAGCCAGGAGCCTAAAAGGTAAGATAATACAGAAAATTGTCGCCTGATTGTCCATCCCAATAAATAAAGGGCAAACAGAAGCTATTCCTTGTTTTTACCTTTTGATATTTAACAATGCCCAAGGAATTCCTGTTGGCGTGTTAAAGGCTGGAAGCAGTTTCTCTCCTAGTTCTACTGCTTTCTTCCGAAATACCTGTAAAATTAAAATCAGCAATAGTCAGACAAATCAAGAAACAATAAACTCTAATTCACCTGGAGCTGTGGAACTCTCCCAGGTCAGAGTCCAACACATGGTAAGTAGGATTTGGAATACTTCATGGACACTTTCCCATAACAAAATGAGTTAGAAGCTTTGTTCTAATTTTTAAGTGAAAGCTGAACATTTTTGGAAAGGATCCTGGAAAATCCATTCATTTATGACACTTGTAGACCCCAGAACAGATTACATATATGAAAAACAAAATAGAATAAAAATTGAACATAAAAAATCCATAACTCCAACAAAGAAAAAATAATTTCACACTTCCTCTTTTCATCAAGCCATAAAAATTATGTCCAACATACAACTCTATTCTTCATTCAGACAATCATGCATTTTATTATTTAGTTCCCAATTTATAAACCCACCCTTCACATAGTGATCCCTGGGAGGCATACAACATAAAATCAAACTTAATCAAGCTAATGTGATTTACCACCAATGATTCACACATTTATTTGCATGTGCTCTAGTGGCCATCCTTCAAACCCATCCGATAGACAAGTGGCAGTCTATCACCACATCAGGGTACTGGTTCTAGACAAGACTTGCCAATTTCATTCATGTGCACAGGTAGGTTGTTTCAAGAATGCTGGTAACTAAACTGAGTGGATCTGACAGTTCACCCACTTGAATCCGTTGCCTCTAATCTATGCCTCTGTTCACCAGCACTTAAAGATGAAAGGAGAACGATGAATAACATTGGCACAAAGCAGAGTTAGGAACAGAAAACACTTCATATGTCCAGATTTTGCTCACATTACCAAAAATGACTATTGCAATTTGCTAATTAGGTTTTGTTATCTTATGAGAAGAGGAGCAAAAACCCAGTGGAAAAAAGTTTAATTCAGCTGACAGTAAAACTTCTGTTAGCAGAATGGGGAAGGAAGTACTTTTCAGCTACTCCCTCTCTCTCTCTCTGCAATCCGCCATGCCTCCCTAAATCTGCTCTGAAGGACTGGGAGGATGATCTGGAGTAAATTTAGAGAGAGGTTGATGAAAGGGGGAATAGCTGAAAACTGCTTCCTTCCCCATTCTGCTAACAGACGCCTTACCTATCTGAATGACACAAACGGATTATAAACCTAAGGAAAGATATTTTTTTTAAAATGTAACTAAAATTCCCTGTAAAAACACAGAGAAGAAAAATGAAAAATGTAGACAGGGCACAGAGTTTGCAGATAACTCAATGCACATGAAAGTCATTGCTCTAAATAAAATTCTTATCTACATATTACTTGAAAAGAACCTTAGTCTGGAGGAGACACTGAAAGTTCCACGAAGTGCCCTGTAAGTTTTCCTACTTGGTTACATACACAATCTTTTGCCTGATCAACCTTTAATCTCTTAGCAGAACAAAACTTTACATCTAACTGGTCAATACTTGTTTTGTTGGCTTTAGAACATCAGGGACTGCAATCTTTAGCTGATCTAAGGTCAATTCATGACAAACAGAAAAACATTTATTCCAACGAAACAAAAATGCAGGTTCAGCGTCACAAAAATTGAATTATCTAGGACTGCACAAACAATTGACAAATCCTGAATCAAGAACCAAAGCAGAGTCACTTCAAAAGGGTTTGTCTGAAGTGGATCTCTACAAAGCACTATGGGAATTCAGATGCTTAATCACAGCAAACTGAGTCTCCAAAAAATTCTCCTCTAGTTTGTCATAGAAGAAAAATGCCAGAGCTGGGAGAGGGACATGTCTTTTGTGACAGACAGGTCTAGCTTTTAATCAGAGGACATCATTTTACCAGGGCTCTCCAATCACACTGCTTTGGGAGACGGGATGCTGAAAACATCACCTAGTTTTTGTCTTTTCTGTGCTTTGTCAATTCTTTGTGCTCTGCCAGTGGTGACTGCTTGGAAAACACTGAACATTAAAGCCCTTCTGCCTTTGTGCCACATGCCAAAAATATCCACTCCTATCAAATCAGCTTTGTGCTTAGTTTCTGTGACTTTTGGTGCCAACTGAGCACAACACAAGCCTGAAGCTGTTTCTTTCATTCATCATAACTCCCTAGCCACGGCACTCAACGTCCTGAAATTCTGCAAGTTACTTTCCTAGGGAAACCTCTACAATGTACAACATCTTCATAATAAAATTGTTGCCCTACAGTAAAGTGCCCGCCAGCTCAGGTGTAACACACACACCAAGAATATAGGTGTGGTTAATCCAACAGGCTGTATGGGTGAATACCCAGGTGATGGTGATGCCCCAAAGTGGTATCAGACGCAAAGTCTGGGAAATCACTTCAATCTCTTCTCCGAAAGCAGTAGAAGACAGAAGGGAAGGGGGAAAGGGAACACACAATAGGGATTCACACACACGCTAGGCAAAGGAAAAGCGGGCAAGAAAGGAAAGGAACAAGCCAGCAGTAAAGATGGTGGACAGGGAAACCAAACAAAATGGTGACTGGTAAAAGACAAAGCTGAGGAGGAAAAAACAACAACTAGCCCTCAATCATACCAACCAAACAGACAAAAACACTCTGGAAAACACATCATGCCACACACCACTCATATAAAGAATAATTAGAAAAAATAAGCTTTAAAGAGACAGAGGAAACACCTGAGGAGAAATCAGTAACAGGAGCCAGAGAAGATGTGTACAGCTTTCGCCGAAGGCATATTGGGCGCAATCTACATCCCAATATGTTGTCCTGCCTTTCAACCACTAGGTGGGGCCATAGACCCAACCCGATAGCCTTGTTACCACAATGTGAAATCTGTAAAGGCTGTCTTGCAGAACTGCTACAGCTTTCCTTCTGAAATTTGGCAGGATTCATCCACTTAGAAGGGATCAAATGTTGCTCTTTTCCAAACCAATGAAGTGGGGTCCAAACCGAATTTTGTGGTTTATACACACCCCTAGCATTTTCTTCAGTTTCAATAAGCTGGTATTGACCTTAAGTAAATAATGTCCAAATTCAATGCTCTGAACTGTTGCATCTTTTAAGTAGCAATCCAATTTTGTATGCAGGTGTTAAAAGTTAATTGGAATGTCATTTTCCTACTGTTTTATCTATTAAGTAGTTGAAGTAATTTATTCTTTCAGGGAGACACATGAAAAGGTCTCCATTCTTATAAGCCAAATTACATTTAGGATAAGTCAAATTACTTCGCAATCTCAGAGATCCTAATAAAATATGGCTATAATACTGATAACCACAAAATGGTGTAATGTATGGAACATAAGCAAAGTTTGCTGTGGGACCAGAAAACTGTGGATGTAAAGCGGAGGCTATCAGACAAAGTTGCCTGATGGTGTAAAGTTGGTGTAAGTGTTACCACAAGTAAGATGGAGTCTACAGCACAGTATCAAGAAAGAAATTCAGAGAAACTGAACACCACATTTGCTGCATGGGAAGATTTCCTCTCTCCTGTTGTGCGCTGTTCCATTGGTTCTCCCAAGTCCCCACCGAGCAAATTTTGGAGGTGGGGAGCAGTGTGGGGAGTTGACCAGGGAGAAGCCCCATTGTGCAAATAGAAGTCTTTGCACAAGGTCTCTGTTGACAGGACTCATAAGCTGAATCCTGCCGTCAGGGAAAAATAGTTGTCCTGATTTTAGGCAGCATGATACAGCGCAAGCTCACTGTCTCTCTGCCCTGCTGCCACCCTACACTTAAGTAAAGGTAAAGGGACCCCTGACCATTAGGTCCAGTCGTGGCCGACTCTGGGGTTGCGGCGCACATCTCGCTTTATTGGCCGAGAGAGCCGGCATACAGCTTCCGGTTCATGTGGCCAGCATGACTAAGCTGTTTCTGGCGAACCAGAGCAGCGCACGGAAATGCCGTTTACCTTCCCGCCAGAGCGGTACCTATTTATCTACTTGCACTTTGACGTGCTTTCGAACTGCTAGGTTGGCAGGAGCTGGGACTGAGCAACGGGAGCTCACCCCGTCGCGGGGATTCGAACTGCCGACCTTCTGATCGGCAAGTCCTAGGCTCTGTGGTTTAACCCACAGTGCCACCTGCATCAGGCACCCTAAGAACGATATCCCAAGACTTCTCAAAGAAAAGCAAAAGAATTCACATTTTTGTTTTTTCAACTACTGTGTATGTAAGAAAGAAAAAGGGGACACCCACCTTTCTAGACTCTCAAAGTTATTTGCACACTTGTTATGGGGGATGAACTCATTTGGAGTATGTACATACAGGGTAGTTTACAGGAACTTTGGGAGTGAGAGTCTGGGAATGGCACAGACTCCCACAAGAGATGATGAACTCTCCTTCCTTGGTGGTTTTTAAGCAGAGGTTGGATGGTCATCTGTCATGGATGCTTTAGCTGAAGTTCCTGCATTGAGGGGTTGGACTAGATGTCCCTTGGGTCCCTTCCAACTCTATGATTCTATGACTCTCTTGAAGAGCTCAGCGATTAGGTCTTCCCATTCTTGAGACATCCCAGACCCAAGTTGTTAATGGCTTTGAACCCAGCCTGGTAGTGTATGAGGAGGTAGTGCAAGCTTTTGAGCACTAGAGTTATGTGCTTGCAGCATTTCTCCAATTAGCCAGTCCCTGGTGTGTTGTTGGCTAACTTCCAGTCCCCTAAGCCAAACTTTGGACTTTAACCTGTTACTCAGTATTATAGATTTAGAGCTACAATTGAAGACCATAAATGATCTTACCTCTTCTCCAGAAAGGTAGTATGCTGAAAGCAGCCCACCAACAAAGCGAATGTTCACTTCAAAAACGGAAACTTCTGCATTCTATGAATACAAATACAATACATTTTTAGGTAAATTATAGTGAATTTTCAACATGAAAAGGAAATACAATGTCTGCAGTAGTCTCCAGTTGTTTCTAGGGTCTGGTTTGCATGACATGGTAAGCCAATTTTGGCAGGCACCTCGAGAGGAGCTTGCAGCTGCTTTGCTCCTCCTGGTGCTTTTAACTCCTGTGCTGCACTGAGCTAAGTCAAGGTTTGGCTGAGCACGTTGTTTGAACCCAAGCTCACGGTGAGGTTCTCTCCTCACTAAACACAAAATGTATCCATGATTTTTTACAAACTTGGCTCCATATCACAGACAGGGATGTCACTATGAACTCTTTGCCTCCAGGAGGATACACTATCCAAAGATTTAAGCATAATTCTTGCCCAATTTGCATTCAGTGTTTATGCCAGTTTTAAGCTTCAAAATGCAGTATGAAAAAGTTTATATCCAGAAGCAGAAATAAAACGATGCTTCACAAAGACAGAAACATCAGTTAAATTCTAAGAAAATGTATTTGTTTCCACAATGAAGGAAATAGTTCACCTAAGGAAGAGTTTAACAGACTACTAAAATCATTTGAACCTCACACCCTTACCATGTCCACAGCACTACGTTTTTGTTTTAAAAAACCTCCTAAGAATAGGATTATTGGCAAAAGCTCTTTGTGAATCATACCTCTATGGGACAAACACATTTTCAGGATGTTGTTATTATTCCCTGTCTTTCCAGAGAAGACAGTTCTTCCTAGATTCTTTATGCCCATTTCTTTGTTGCAAATAGTTACACCATTTTACAACAATTAATATATCATGTATTGCTTGTTACACTATTCACATGATCCTGATCTTGACTGGGACTCTGCAGTGGTTTCTCATCCAAATTCTCCCATCTCCTATTTGCCTCTGAATGGACTGTCTGCTATAAACAGCACTGCCAGGAGCAGGAGCAACCACAGAATAACTTCTTGGTGGAGAACTGGCAGCTGTAGGCGATTCTTCTGTTTAGTACTCTATGGAGCTGATTTTCATCCAGAAAGCTAAATTAAGCACTTAAAAACAACAGCCTGTGCTTAACATGTAGTTAGGCCATTAATTACTGCCTAGCTTATGCCAATTTTTTTTATAATAAGGCAAAAACTTTGCATACAGCTACAGCTCTCTTTATTAGTATATTAATTCCATAACATGATAAATTTTGTTTTCAATGTGGAGAGAAAAGATATCACAAAAACTTAAAACTTTTTATCATATATTACTCAACTTTCTCTCATACAATCTAAGGATACTATCATTTTAAATTATAGCCCTAAATAAACCTTGCAGATTTGCTGAAGCTAACAACTGTACAAACCATAGCATTTCTAGAGTATGTTACACAATCCACTGAGGCATGTGGAACAAATGAAGCAAGAGATTGTAGTCAGCGTAGACATGAAAGCTCTGTATTTAATAGGAGAGCTATCCTTAAGCTCATTATGGCAAGCTAGCATCACCCTGGGAAAACATGTGGATGAGAGAGATTTGAAGAGAAGCTGAAGAGGCTTTACTTAACTTCTAGGAAACCAGTCTGCATTTGAATGGGAATGTGGGGGAGAAGACAATGAGGAGTCTTATTCAAGCCTGTATCAGATTTCCCTATGAGCAGATAATGAAGTCTCAAATCCAAGATGGTGGGGGGCACTTAAAATATTCTCTCCCCTCTCGCAAGCTTCAGAAAACTATCAAGATATATCATGTGTAAATGTAAGAAATAAAATATCTGATGAATGCAGTTGAAAATCAGTATGCAGTAACACAGGGATCATGGATTTTAACACTAATTGTCTGTCAGCAACCTATTTCTATATCAAATATACCATAAAGGTCACGAAAGAGAAATAATGTACTGTATTCTTCCATATATAACATGCCTCAATGTATAAAATGCCCCCTATTTTGGGGGACTCCAAATTGAGAAAATGGGGGGGGGTATTGTATCCATGTACAAGACGACCCACAATTTTGAACATAATTTTTAAATAAAAAAACCTAGTCTCGTACACAGGAGCAGATCTAGAATCAGGAAGTGGCAGGGGAATATGAAGACTTCCTTCCAATATGTCTTTTTAGTGGGGGAAGGGGGAAGAATATGTACTTGCTCACTGAACTGTAAAGTTGCAGAGCAAGCCTTTTCTAAAAGTTGCTGGGTCAGATGTGGATTTTCAACTCCAGTCAAGTCAGCACTGGTTATTACCAGGGTCAGACTTTGGTAATATGGCCCCCTGACTGAATAGTTGCCCAGATGTTGGCAAACTACCAGATGTAAGGTCTGTTTATGCTATACTAAGATCACCTTTGTTCTTTCAAAATCAGATAATTCAGGAGTGAACTTATTTCCTCTCTACCTTCTGCAGAACTCTATGTTCAGAATTTGGCAGCTCTGCCATCACACATTCTTCATCTCCCTTAATCAGGCTTCCTCAACCTTGGCTCTCCAGATGTTTTGAGACTACAATTCCCAGCATCCCTGACCACTGGTCCTGCTAGCTAGGGATCATGGGAGTTGTAGGCCAAAAACATCTGGAGGACTGAGTTTGAGGAAGCCTGCCCTTAATCATTGGATTGCTCCACCCATTTGTCTTTTGTTGTTGTTCATTGGAAGTTTCTTTCTTTGAGTAAGCCCATTTACTATCATTATTATCAGTTACATTTATTAGATGCTTTTTGTTGCCGCAGGCTACTCAAAGTACTTTACATAAAAAAGAAATAATAAATTTAAAGTTTATCACAAAGGAAGTTAGAATTCTATGTCCCAAGCTGCATCACTTTGTGTTTACGCAAAACTACGTTTTCCCTGGTACTGCTTTTGGAACTCTTCATGGTCTGCTTGGAATTTTCTATCCTGAATACTGTCTTCCACAAGTTTTGCTATCTCACCAAGCATCCCTGTCTCCAGTTTTCACACTAAATGCTGTTAGTCTTAATACAGAACATTGCAGCACTCAATTTTTATGACTTTATTCCATCTTTAGCTACCCTCTGGTTCCTGTTTATTAACTAGTTGATCCCTATTTATAACATAGGCATGCCACTGTTTGTGAACTAATTTCATTAAATCTTGCATGAAATTACTCCCATTTATTAGGAAGGATTAAAACTAAAAATGTATTTAGTTAGATATTCCTTTGGTAACATCATCAGAATATGCAGCAAAGGCTAGATTTAAATACATAAAGACTTCTGGGAAACATCGAGGTGATTATAAATACAAATTCCACAGTGACCTGACAAACAATACCTTGGCAGAAAGATTTTTCTTTCAGTGAGACATGCAGGAAACAGATAAATGGAAAGGTGCTGCTGCTTATAATTTTGTGTTTGAATGGGATTTCCTGAAATTTTAATTGCTATATGCTGAGAAAAACTGAGGTGATACAGCCACTTTTCAACTTCAAGAATAGGAGGCAGAACATTAATTGCTGCCTTGGTCTAACAAAATATTGTTCACATTCTAGCATTACATTCAGATCCTCTCTAGAACAGCCCCATGGCGTGGGAAAACACAATTACTACAGAAATATGACACCCAGGTTTGCAGTTCTTGGGACAGAGGAAGTTATGAAGGTCTTTTAAAGTAACTGTCTACCTAACATATGTTTTCTAAGTAAGAACACAGTTTAAGTAGCATTTAAATTTTATTTTATAATATATACCTGCCACAATTACCTTTTAAAAAGATTCTTACTAAAGGATTTTACATTTTAAATAGGTAGTAAAGCAAAATGACATACTGGAAGTCCCATTTGAATTGTGTTAAATAGCTAAAGATTTAAAGTTTAAAGCTCTGTCTCATTTGAAGAGAAAAAGAAGTGTCATAAGGGTGAGATAAGTAACTTGCTTAGAATGAAACTTGCCTAGGCCTGTTCTGGGTTTGAAACCCATGTTGGGCAAAAGATTCCTGCACTGCAAGGGGCTGGACTAGATGACCCTTGTGGTCCCCTCCATCTCTACAGTACTATGATTCTCTTCTGAGGACTGCTAAAAAAAATAAATCTCTGAACATTCTTCAAGTCAGAGTTGTCACTATGTGTGCAAGCAGTAGAAAAAGAACACAATACTCACCACATTAAAATCTAGATTTTTCTCTACCCATTCTTTAGCTTCTTTAAATTCATCTTTCATTTCCATGATGTACAGTGTATCCAAGGCATCGACAATTGTTGCTCCTTGAATATTACCTGAAAAGGGCCAGCATTGTAATTAATGATAAGCTTTTTTTGCTGCTCTATCAAGAAATATTTATAAAGCAGACAAAGATCATAATAACTTTCATGGTTCTCAGTCTACACTAACTACAATAGAGTTGCAGATATTATGAAGGGAAAATCCTTACAGTAACTGGATTTTTAAATTTGCTTTAGTGTCCTATTCTATGGCACTGAAAATCTGATGCACACTTGTGTGCTATGGTCTAGTTGTCTGCTGCATTTGTGAAACTAAATTTCTTGTCAACAGGCCTACAAATCAAATATCAGTCCATAAATAATAAAATACTTCATTTTGTAGAAAGCTTATGATTGAAACAGAATATGTTGAATAATAACTATGATCCCTGAATTAAGAGCACTATTTGGGATTCTTTCCTATCCTGCTATACTGCCTGAATACCACCCTTTTGTTTGCACAGCCCCCTGCAAGCATGCGGCATTTCTTCACACTCCATATTCCTCAAATAATACAAATAATAGAACTGTGCCTCAGTTCTATTATCCTCCAGGCCCTGTCTATAAGATGCTCTTATTCTGTTACAGAATATCATGATATTGCGTCTCACCATGATGAGAAGGTTGGGTGCAAGAAAGGTGGTAGTTTGTTAGGTTTTTATTTTTTAAAAAAATCTCAGCATTTCTATTCTGAATCACATCATTTTAGCTATTTCTCCTCTACCTGACCCCTCAGTTAACACAAGTCTTTCTTGTAACAGTGCATTTGTTATTCATTAACTATTGAAATGTTATAGCTGTGTACAACGACAAATATTTTACAGAAAAAGATATGAGATATCTTGCAAACAATGCAAGAACATTAGCATGTAAAGAAAATGTAAGCAATTCTTTTGGCGAACAACTTCTGAATGGGCCTCAACTGGCAACTGCAAAATCAGATAAGTGTCTTGAAACAACACACATCAGTGCGAATTTCCTTTCTGTAAAACCAGCAATAAAAGCACAAATAATAAGCTGAACCACACGTCCCACACCAACATATGACTCTCCATTCACTAAGAACAGTAAGAGAAAGTGAAAGGCATACCTCATCTTTTAAAAGGTTTGAATACATGAACTTGAAAACTGGCTGAATTCTCAAGTGCTCAATTCTAAACTAGAAAGAAAGCGTAACACTTGCCTACAGGGAGATTGCACGCTCTGATTCATGAGCCAACCAATGTGGCACCTGGAAGCACCCATAGAGGCCTTCCCTACCACCCTCCCCACTGCTGAAAATTGGCTTGAAAGAATATGCTGCTCTATGATGATGCTGGGAACAACTGCTGATTGAATTGTCTGCTTTCAGCATAACTTTAGTTGTATCTTCATGGCCATCAAAGAAAATGCAGTGAATTTCACCTATCTAACAAAGAACATGAAATTCCTGAGCCAAGGATTTCAGAACTTTTTCTTAGGCCCTCTTGACTGCAAGTCTCTTTTCTTCAGTGATCAAGCTGGCATCCATAAAGGCAGCTGTGGCAAGCAGGACAATACCATATCTGATGCTCTGCATACCAACATTATGCATTTCTATTGTGTTGAACTCTGCCTTTTTATCAGAAGTGGAAGGTGTATTTGGCTTTTCTAATGTCAGTTCATAACTTCCATCATTTCCATCTTGGTCATCATCTATGTGTTATTCATTTTCATCAGCACAGAAAATTATTTCGTTTGATGGTATTGAATCATCTAATCTACTTCTATGCTTATATTCAACAAGCCTTCTCTCATCTTCTTGCTGCTTCCACTTTTTAACTTGTTTGTTATGCTCAAGCATATGTAATACACTTGTGATTACTAGATAATCATTTTAATGATTATTATGCAATTTTACACACATTGTTTAAAAAAATGACAAGTTTTAAATTACTGGAAATTCCACAAAATGTTAAAAAGTCAGTATTTGTTTGCAAAGTACAAATCAAAACTAAATTAGAGTTGTACCTTGGTTCTCAAACGGCTTAGTTGCCAAACAAATCAGCTCCCGTATGCCGCAAACCCAGAAGTAAGTGTTCTGGTTTGCAAATGTTTTTCGGAAGCCGAACGTCTGATGCGGCTTCTGCTTGAGTGCAGGAAGCTCCTACAGCCAATCAGAAGCCACACCTTGGTTTTTGAATGGTTTTGGGAGTCGAACAGACTCCCGGAACGGATTAAGTTTGAGAACTAAGGTATATTTATTTAACCAAAATATCTTTTGAATTCCCAACTCATGTTACAACTTTTTAGCAACCCTCATTTTTTGAAATTTAAAGTTGAAAAATTCAGCATACCCTATTATGAGAACCTACAATTTTATTCTCTTATACTACTTGAAGCTGCATCCCTATGTACACTTACAAGGGGGTAACTCCCAATGACTTGCCTCTAATTAAATATGCATTGGGTTGGCCTGCATGTTTATTCCAAGTGTGAGATAGTATAATCCCAAATCAAACACCACTGCTATTGGTTTTTCTGTGTTAGATAACATGGCTTGCAGTCAAGCGGTGGGAACTAGCCCTGGATGTTTACAGGGAAATAAATGCATTATCAAGTGGTACTACTCACAACACTCCAGCAATTTAGTTTAGTTATATTATGAAGGCAAATATCAAATATTATTCCTATACTTTAACCATCTTTAACCAACATTCCTCTGTGAAACAAACTCAGAAAAGCCTTCCAAGACAAATATGCTACTTGACATGACATCATTTAGAGGACAAAATAGGGTAATGCAATTTAATAGCATGAACAGAATAAAGTTATTTGATTTACCAATAAATCCTGGAACTAGTTATGCTGCCAGAAGAAGTGTTATTGGATTTAAAATAGTTTATCTTATTAAATCAGCATAAGCTATAAATACAAACTTCAGTGTATGGCTCCAGCAGGACAATTTACCCACTGAAATAGCATGTTTCTTAAGTCTCTAAAAGCAGGGCACACTGAATTGTGATGCTTAGCATCTGCAGAAGAGTTTTAAGTATGCCATGTCATATATATATATATATGAATGAATAGGAGCTTAGCCTTTGAAATAAGTATGTTGTAAGTAGTCATCCTGCCTCATTCCTGACTAGCTGCCACTACAACTTCCTGTAAACACTTCCCTGAACTCTGGAAGACGTGAACTTGTACTTGCCTGGCTGCATGTGAACTACACACAAAGGAGCTTAGCTGAAATGAAAGAAAGAAAGAAAGAAAGAAAGAGAAGGGACAACACCAGCAAAACAAAGTACTGCACAATATAATGAAGCAGGTAGACATCAAGGGGAGGGGAGGGGAGGTTAGCAGTTCTCACAAGGATGTTTGCCTGACCTGTGATTTGCAACAGACTAGCAACAAATTGTCAGAGTAAAAGCATTACATTTCATGGCCTTACAGGAAAGTACTAAGAGATAGGCTGTATTCAATGGCCTGCAGCTTGAGCCTCCAATATAAAAAGAACTTTAATCTAAATTCTCAAATCTGCTTATATTTCAGAAAGAACTTCTTTGTTGCTGCCTTTTTTCTGCTATTGTTTTATATCCAGTACCTCATCACTTAAGCCATTAGGACCTGAAACAAATTAGCTCATACAGGGTTTGCTATACATTTGCTACTTACTATAACCCAAACTAAATTTGTAAAAAAATTGATGTTTGTTCATACCATTGGTACTAGATTTACTGGTACCTATACAGTCATACCTTGGTTTTTGAACAGAATGTGTTCTGGAAGTCCACCGGACTTTCAGCTTCCAAGGCAAAGTTCGCAAACCAGAACACTTACTTCCGGCTTTGCGACATTCGAGTTCCAAGTTGTTCGTGAACTAAGCTGTTCAAAAACCAAGGTACGACAGTAGTTTTTTTCTTTGTATGAAGAAGATGTATGCAATGTGAACTAAGGCTAAGTTTAAAACTTTGTTTTTCAAGAGCAGACAGTCTCACAGAGTGCATTGCAGTGATCTTCACATCTGCGTGCACACAGAAGTAAATCAATTTATACATATGTCATACAACATGTAGATCTAAACTGTAATAAAAATTAAGGTTATAAAAAGAGAAAGACCAGCAAAAATAACTTTAGAAGTAAAAATATCGTAGTCATAACTCTGACAAAGGATTTAAAAATTCTCATCTGCTTGCTATTTCATTGTTCTATACACTGTGCCCACTCATGTTTGAACCTGTTCATTCTGTAACTTGTTGAACCCAGATATACCAAGTAATTTTACTCAAAACTGTTATTTCCTATGATTTAATACACCATTCTTTCAGGTGGGGAATTTCCCCACCCTGTGACCACACACAGTATTTTGCATATAGTATCCTTGCAGAAATCAAATTTTTAGATTACCAATGCATGGACCACTGTGGCTAGATTATCTTTGCCCAGGACCAGACATAGTGGGCATACCAACCAAAGCTAGCTACTGAAGTCAGTTGAGCCTCTAGTAATGAAGATGAATGACTACATTCTGACTACAAGCTTGGTCCTTCAGAAGGAATAAAACTACATCCAGACAAATTTTCTGGACCTGAGGACTACCTATCCACAGTGCCTCCATCTTGCCAGTATTCATGCTCACCTTACTGGCCCTCATCCAGTCCACCATTGCATCCAGAAACCAGCTCAGGGCTTGCATGTTGACTCCTGACTTGGGCGTTACAGAGAGATAGAACCATCCGCTTATTGAAGCCATTGTTCTCCAAATCTTGTAATGGCCACCCCCAATAGCTTCATATAGATGATAAATAGCATTGGGGACAAAATAGCACCCCACAGCCTAACTACTAGAGGGCAAGCACATTTTAAAGTCCCTAGAGCTCAGTGGCAGATCATCTACCTTGCATGCAGAAGGTCCTAGGTTTAATCCCTGGTATTTCCAGGTACAGCCAAGTACATCCCCTATTTGAAACGCTGCAGGGTTGCTGCCAGTCAGTGTAGACAATATAAGCTGTTTCCTTTGCTGCTTTCTGGACTTGCAGGTAGAAGTGGAACCAGTGAAGATCAGTGCCTTCAACTCCCAACCAACAGAAGAGATCCAGAAGGATGTCATGGTTGATGGCATCAAATGTTGTTGAAATATCAAGAATGAGTAACATGATTGCACTCCCACTGTCCCTCTCCCAAGGAATGTCATCTATGAAGATGACAGAGGACAACTCAGACCCAAAAACCAGATCACAACCGAGACTAATAATGTTCAAGATAATCTGCATCATACAAGAGTGCATGTACTTGAACTGTCACTACCCTCTCTCAAGCACCTTCCCCAAAATGGGGGTATTGATGATGTATCCCAATTACCACTGGATCAAGGATTTAACAGATGCTCCTAAAGGTGATGGTGAAGTTTACATCCACTACCATACCCTACAGATAACACAGCCACAATGAGCGCTGTGGTGCTCACAAAGTAACAGAGCCTCTTCAATTACACCAGGCTAAACCATTGAATCAGCAAGAATGTGGTGTTACACCTGCTCTCTGTGCTATTAGACCTTTCCCTGACGGTATTTGTTTAGTTTGCAATCTATGTTGCCAGAAGTGAATAATTATTAACATGTGCCAAGGTCAATATATGTAAAGCCCCATAGAAAAGCTGTTTCCTTTCCTTTCCAACCTTGGCTTTTTAGGCCACAGTTTTAAAAGAAGCAGCAACAAACTTAAACTGTTAATCAAAAGAGCCAGCTACCAAGATTGCTCTCCACTATATTTAACAATTCTTCCAAAAGTGGAAATATAAATTTATTCTAAGTACTGTGGCATAACAAATATTCAGCTTCTCATAACATTTGCCATAATGCACATAGGTGTACACTATGGCAGCTAAGACATAGTCTATACAACAAAGCCTTTCATCTAGATTTTTTCCCAGAGTAGAAAACTTCATGCAGAATTGCAGCAAGCAAAATGTTTTCACTAAGAACAACCTCATATTTCATTTTCTCTATCTCATTCCTATGCGAGGTAATATTTAACAGATTTCCCCCTCTCTCATCATGAATGAAGTGGAACACGTTGCCTTGATACAGTGTTATAGAAGGCAATAAATAATTCCATGATCATAGTAAAAAGAGCATGAACTGGGAAATCTGGATGGTGATTGCATGTACTATTCCCTCAACATTATAGGGAAGGAGATACAGGGCTGCTGTTTTTGATGGCAGCTATGACTTTCATATTTTGCCTTTCCTCCAAGGAGCTCAAAGGTAGTCCTGCCCCCCTTCCATTTCATACCACAACCCTGTGATATTAGCTAGGCTCCAAGTGCACAAGACCACTTAGTAAACTTTATATTCTAATGGGAATTTGAACCTGGTATCCCTGCCCTTTGTCTGACTCTCTAAACACTACTGCACTTTAGGCTCTTTTACTTCACTACTGAGCAGCTAAAGAGAAGTTTCCAAACATGAAATGGAGATTACCATGAACATGCAGCCCAAAAGACAACTGAATTTATCGCGTTAGAGTTCTGGCTGGCTAAAGCACATTAAATGAAACAAAAGCTTGGGTTCCACTATTTTAAGCACAAAATAGAAGCAGCTAAAGGAGAAAAGATCTACAGGACAAGAAGGCTATTTTTGTTGCTGTTATGAAAGTTCTTAAATTAAGAAACAAGGCTCCCTCAAATATTCCAGAAATTCCTACTGCAAACTATCATCTATTAATAAAGGATATAGATGTTCAAAGCTGATAATACAACAAGAAAAAGCTTAACTGAATGATTCTAATTGCCATTCTTACGTAGCTAGCATGCCTATTTTGAAGAGTGCTTAAAATCTTTACCAGTTTGTCCAGGTTCCATAGTCAACATATGATAACCTTACCATTTTAAATTATTATTTTTGATACTTGAAGCCACTCAAGGGCCCTATGGAGTCATGCTGGTGGATAAAAATCCCCATATAAGGAGTGCAACACTGTAGTATACCTTGTATGATCTTCCTTGTAAGTGGGGAACAAACTAATAAGACAATGCTGCTTTGGTTATTTTCAATAATCAACCATTTACAGATAACCAGCTGTTGTGACATGTGCTAAGAGCCCACATGCTTCTAATGTAATCTCTAACTTCAGAGCAGTAAATCAGATGATGTCACTAAGTACAAAAGCACATATTACTTACCAAATAAATTGCTTGAGTGTCCTTGTTTCGATATGGGTTTCAGTTCATTTAATCCCCATGCGTAATGTTTATAATTATCCCAGGCATGTTTCATCATCTGGTGGGAAATGAAAGCAGGATTATAATGTTGATTTAGCAAGAAACCATTGCAGTAAATGCTAGCAGAAAATATACTGTACACTGAGAATCAATGTGTTGAATTCAGTGGTTAATTAAATCCATATTGTATTGTAGACATACCACTTTAACATAAAGCATTATTAACATTAAGTTGCTGTTGTGGTGTTTTAGTTATAGTAGGGAGTCTTTTATTCAATTCCATTCTCTATTGTTAATTAGGAATTTGTAATGCGCACCCATTAATTCTCATTAAGAAGTTTAGCTAAAAGACTATTAATCCAATTAAGAATTTCCTTCTAAGACAACAGGCTTCTGAAGCTGGGAACTACAGAAAAGATATTTTATTCCCCCACAACATATGCTTACAAAGTTATGAAAGATAAATCATATGTCTGGTAGAGACTGCAGTTTGGTTACAAGCTAGCAGACTGAAACAACTTGAAAGAAAAGAAAAGAAAAGAAAAGAAAAGAAAAGAAAAGAAAAGAAAAGAAAAGACCAAATCAATGACAGCAGAATACATTCTAGCAAGCATTGGAGTTTTATGAAATATGCTAAATGATCAAATCCTGTAATAGGACTACCCAAGAACTAGATGCTTTCCCATATTTACTAGATGAAAGACTGGTGTTCTAATATTTCACAGGACTCCCACAGCAGCACAGTCTTTGTTCCATCCCCATGCCATGGTTGCCACTAAGCAACAGCTGAGTAAATACAGTGGTACCTTGGTTTAAGAACAGCTTAGTTTATGAACAACTTGGATTAAGAATGCTGCAAACCTGGAAGTTTTGGTTTGTGAACTTTGCCTTGGAAGCAGAACATGTTTCACTTCCTGTTGAGTGTGTTCCATTTGTAAATTGAGTCCCCCGCTGCTATGGGAAAGCACGCTTCGGTTTAAGAACGCTTTGGTTTAAGAATGGACTTCCGGAACGGATTAAGTTCGTAAACCAAGGTACCACTGGAACTTCCATTCAAATAGACTTTCTAAAAGTTTAGGCAGCTTTTCTTAAAAGATTCAAGAAGACAACTTCACAGAAAACGACATTTCCTTCACATGATTGGTCTAAGTGCCACTGATCACATCAAACAAAAATGTCAAGAATATAATTTATAAAGCTACTATATTTTGGTTGGTGTGTATACTTGTATCACAGCCCAGTTTTTGAAAGCAATACAATAGCCAATCCATATGTTGAGGGAGAGAGCAGACAGATCTTCGGGGAGGAAGCATTATTCTTGACATTTTTGTTTGATGTGATCAGTGGTGCTTAGACCAATCATGTGAAGGAAAGGTTGTAAAAGGAGGAAAGGCAGTAGAATTAGAAATAGATTTCCCACTTTCCGCTGCCCCTTGATAGTTTTAAATGTGGATGTTCCTTGGTATGGCTAATTTTAACACTATGAGTGCCATCTTATGAAAAATAGTGGAAGATATGCTTCTGTCTGGTCTGACAAATCTGATAACGGGGAAGGCAGGAACAACTGTGTTCACTCAGACTGTGCTCACATTCCCATTTACAGTGCACTCAATGCATTTTCAGTGCTGCGTTTTCATCCCTGTTTATTTGACGTTATCCAAAATGCAGATCAAGTCTGCACTTTGCTATAAAATACTACAGCCTGATGAGTTGTTAGAATCATAGGATGATAGAATTGTAGAGTTGGAAGGGACCCCAGGGGTCATCTACTCCAATCCCTTGCAATGCAGGAATCTTCAGCTAAAAACACCTAAGTCCACAACCTCCTGAGGGAGACAATTCCACTAACAGCTCTTACTGTCTGAAAGCTTTCCCATATGTCTAGTTGCATGTTTAGTTGTTTGTTTGTTTATATTTTCCATATGTTCTGTTGTAACTTGTCAAACCAGCTTCACACCGCTTGGAGTCTTTAAGTTGCTTTTACTTGTCTCTAGCCAATATGTAAATACCTTTGCATAGAGTAAAGGCATCCGTGTCCCCTCAACACTGCTTGGTATATACACAAACAAAAACAAACCCGACACTAATAAAGCTGTGCTGATGTGAACAACTGGGAGGAGGGGAAGCTGTAAAGTGGACAAGGTGGGGAGGACAACCTTACTGCACTCTAAGGTGACAATGTGAACACACTGTCATTTGGCAGCCCTTGCTTTTTTCTTCTTAATTACTCTCCAAAGTTATCTGCTGCTCCTCATTTGGACAGAGTTCTTTCTAAACCATTTTAGCCAACAACAAAACCTGGTGAAAACTTAAATTTTCATTATTGCTTGTTCTCTTGCTATTCTATGTTGTGTTTGTTTGTTTGTTTGTGTGTGTGTGTGTGTGTGTGTGTGTATGAATACACCCCCTGTCTAAGTGGTTTAATAGTAGACAATCTAAAGCATTCATTAAAAATGCCAGTAAAAATATTAAAAGCAAGTTACATATTTATAAATATATACAGTGGTACCTCAGGTTACATACGCTTCAGGTTACAGACTCCGCTAACCCAGAAATAGTACCTTGGGTTAAGAACTTTGCTTCAGGATGAGAACAGAAATCGTGTTCCGGCAGCGCGGCGGCAGCAGGAGGCCCCATTAGCTGAAGTGGTGCTTCAGGTTAAGTACGGACCTCCGGAACGAATTAAGTACTTAACCCGAGGTACCACTGTATATATAAAATCAGTAATTTTAAAACACAGTAGTGTTGCTCCTTATTTTGGTTGAGATTTCATATTTCAAGTGTTCTGACTATTTAGTTTTCTCTCATCTCAGAATTGTATGTCAGTAAAACACCTGAAATACTTTAATAAAGTGCTGCTTATCTACAATACACATTCTAATGCCAATCTTCCACCATAAGCCCTTGAAACAAAACCCAAAACTGGACCTGGACCACATGTGAGGTGAGCACCCCCATGTTAACAGAATTATTGGTCCTTATTAGTGTACCAGATGTTCATAGCCAAGTGCCAAATTTATACCTGTCAAACATGAAACAGACTGAAACCGGCTTTCCACATATGCTAATAGTCAAGTACTAGATTGTAAGAAGAGAAACCATTCTGGTGTGTGTGTGTTTTATAGATTATGATGTGATCCACTAACCAATTAAACTTTGACCTAAGTCTATTCTTCATTTTCAAGATAAGCACAAATACAACCAGGGTTGCTCAACTGTACTGAGGTAAGTTCACATGTACACACAATCACACTCTTCTTATATATGCACATACATACACTCTTCTATACTGCATTTATAGTCTGATCTGCAATCGCAGGAGGCAAGACAGTAGTGTTTTACCTGCATCAGTCTGAGAGTTTCCTTCTTGGTGTGATTCCTGCCTGCAAGAGGTTTTTTTGGCTGACAGCAGAGTGCAGTGTTGTTTGGTTGCTGACTGACTAGATGAGCTGGGATGTGATCCAGAGCACATCTTCTCACAAAGGCAAATCTTGCTGCAGGCAGCAGGTTTAACACCAAAGGGGATTTCCACTTGCAGGAGTTATAGGAGTATGGGTGCGTCAGGATACAGAATTGTAGGCCAGGTACTGTGGGTGACAGGCCTGTGAGACCCTGGGAGAGGGGAAGTTTGGTTTGGTGTTGTTTCCCTTGAGTGAGAAACAGGGGGACAAATGCTGTAGTTGTGTTCTCACTGACAGCATGGGATTTGTCCACTACTGGGCCTTACTTAGTCTACTATCTGTGGCCCTGTCAACTATATGATGATAGTCCTAAGATGTGTCTAGGCGAGCAGGTAACAGCGAGTTAAGAAGATGCTACCCTGATGTCAGTGTTGGTGAGTAGGGCAAGGTATGAATGGAGGAGCTGACCATCTGGGGCAGAGGTCTAGAATGCATACCCTGTCTCCCATTTCAGCCCTCCCACTTTTCCAGAAGTTACTGGTAGATTATCCACCGAGTCTTCTGGTCTGATGGTACTATTAATGAATGTCAGATCAGTTTATAATAAGACCACGCTCATCCACAATCAAACTGGCTGACCTGCCATGTATTACTGAAACTTGGATGCGTAAGCTGGGTGGACCTAACCTAACTCAGCTGTGCCTCTCTCTTCTTCACCGCAAAACCTCTTGATGCTGGGATAAACTTTAAGAGTCTGCCCCTGGTGTCTGGACAGAGAGACAGATTGAGGATGCTCCTCCTCTATCAAATACACTGTTGTCCAGCAGTGGCTATTCTGTTTCGGCATTTTATTTCTGTGTCTTGCTATCATCTGCAACTTCTACCTACTTGAAGAAAGTGCATTTATTTCAGAACAGCACTGCATGGCCCCAACACTTTCCATATCTTTACTGAACAACCCATACTCACAACCCTTAATGCTTCTTTTTCTGCATGTTCACACACACACTTTTTTCCAGCTCTGCAAGTCCATCTGGTAAAATCACAAACTCTTTCAGCTGTGCTACTGCAGTGGTGTGAAATCCTACACTAAGACCATAAATATAAACATACTCAGGTCTTTTTGCAATAATTTCTGAATAATTTCTGAATTATAATTAGGACTGCACTATTTGCAAGCAAACATATTTTTTTTAAAAGAAAGGGGAACTTGAAGTCCACTCCCAAATGTTCCTAAAGATACAATTTCAAATTCCTGCTTTTTCCAAGTCATTTTTGGGATGTCTTTCCAGCCCAGGTAAGCTGATGCAATTACACCATTGAATAATGCCTCCCCAGGCATTATTAAAGTCAGCAAGTTATCAAAATTATTAAAGTCAGCAAGTTATCAAAACTAGCTCAAATGTGAATGCAGTACTTTATTAAGATGGAAAACATCCTGGGAACTATATTTACCTCTCACAGAGCTACAATTCTGGCCGAACTACTGAACACAGCTATGAGAATACTGGTTTGGGAGTAGACCTATGATATAATAGGAAACATATGGAGGTCGTCTATAGCTGAGAAAGCAACCAATAATGTAATAGAGATGAAAGGAAGGAGGGGTGAACTGACTCCTTTTATGTTATTTGGTGGTTATTTTGTATACGAATGAAGTTTACAAAATACATTATCAGCCACATCACTACAAATTTGGATGTTGTGACCATCTATACTTGTTGATACTTTAAGTTGGAGAAGATGACATTGTAAGGGATTGTGTTTCTATAGAACCCTGATGGAATAACATAAGAGAGTCCTGTAGAATAACTAAATAAAAAATATTAAATATCCTCTATGCACTTCCTTTTCAAATCTTGCCACTTGCAATTTTGTTTATGTTTAGAATTTTTGTATATTATTTTGATAAGGCACAATGATCAATAGCAATTCCATGCTCATATCCAAATGGGAAGAATATTTTTGTGGAGCAAGACATAAGTAAACCGAGTAGTCAGCGTCTTGGGATCATCAGATTTTGCACTGTCACAGGTAGAAGAAAGGACATATGGGTAGTTTCCCCACAAGCAGCAAAGACATGACTTGTGGAAGAAAGTGACTAGGTTCCAGGTCTCCTTCACAAAGTTTATTAAAAACAATTATGACTAAAAAACCCTACATTTTAAAAACTAAATTTTATTATAGTATAGTAACCATGGATTTATTTTAAGTGAAAAACTAAAGCTCTGTCAGCATAGTTATGTCATGCATTTGACCTGGGAGATTTCTGCTAAGTTCCAACGATAGTACTCTCACTGAAACTTTACTTGGTCCAGCACAATTTGCAAACTATTCAGAATTACTTTAGCAAGTGCAAATAGATCTAAGTTTCAAAGATGGAACATGTTTTACCAAGATAAATGTATTAATTATAATGTTAAACTAACAGTGATATTCATAGTGAAACTTTTACTTTTAATCTTGAAAGGCTACATATGGAGTGCATTTCTCAGAGCTACAGATGGGTGGAGAACGAGAACCACATAAGCCAGCCCTACTCTTCTTTTTATACAACAGAACTAGCAAAGCTATATTTTAATAATTATTCAGCAATTATCAAAGGTAGAGCTAAAAAAGCAGTGTCAGGAAAGTTTAATCACATGTCTCCATGTGAATTTTAGTCAGTGAAATACTAAACCACTGTCAATTGCCTCCAATGCAAAGTTTTGCTTTCTTTAATTAAGGGCCCTAAGGCTGCTAGATTCAATGTAAGATACAGTTCTTATGCCTTACATAAATAGTTTAACACTTTTATTCAACCCTTAAAGACACTAGACCTCTGTCCTAAACTGTGTTGCAAATTTGGACCATACAACTTATTTATTGTTTGGAGGGGGTAAACAAACAATCTTGAGAACACATAAAATTCAGGAAACAAGTACAGTTCATTCCTATGCTTACCTACTCAAAAGTAAGTCCCTGCAAGTACAATGGAACTTGCTTCCAATGAACTGTAATAAGATTTTAGTCTTGTTCTATAAGAGCCGTGATATTCCTCAACGCTAATGAGATTAAAAGCAACGTGAAGTGTTTAGATATTATTCCTGGTGATCTGCAATGAGCCACTGTTGTTGGAACAGCCTAACCAAAATATAATTTATCTTACAAGTTACGATACCAAACCTACTCAAACAACACTGAATCCATTTTGCTCTGATCACAACACATCAGCTCTCATTACAAAGTTAGTTGCTCAAATTCCATTTCCTTTTATTTCCTCTAGAATAAGCTACAATTTACTTCCATTTGTAATTCCAAGCACATTAAATGAACAGCCCATTAAAATCAAGTTGTGAGTTGCCAAAACTGTAATCCTTAAAAAGCAAGTTTAAAAAGATTTGCTTTGCTGTTATGAAGCAGTTGCACGCACCACATACATATGGCATTAACACACATTACTTGTGGAAGCCAGCCTACCAACTTCACTAAGACTTTCCATCAGCATTTATCAATGTGTTTGCCATATATGTAACCAAAGAATACTTCTCTAGTAAGTTTTGCTGCCAACACCACTTATCTATTATTTCAATGGTGCAATTTACAACACTGCACTTTGGCTACATTCTAACACACTTACAAGGAAGACCCATTGAAATCCATGAGTATTGCCAAGCGAACACAGACAAAGTAAGGCTGTCATGATACTTTCATTTTGGCTTGAGTCAAGATATAGTTTCAAGTGCTAACACCATGTATTTGGGAAAGTAGCAGTCGTCACCAACAAAGTCAATATATAGCAGCACTAGTTGATGCAGCTATATGTACACAAATTTCATACAACTGAATCATAAAACCAGTTTGCAATATTCAAAAGAAAGGTGAAAAGTTGCAGATGTCCACGTCAGCCTGCATGAATTGGGCATCATGCCCGACCAGGTTTTTGCCTGCAGCACACTATACAAATCCCAGAAACTTATGTAATTCTTGGACAGATATAAATCCAACAAAGCATCTTAATATTGTAATAGGCACAAGAGAAAAGCTTTAATACATTAACAGCCAGGTTCTAAAAAGAAAAGAAAAAATGAATCTGAAGGCCTCCTCTGCAAATATGATGTTAGCTTTGAGGCAACAGGAAGGGGTTATACAGGATACAAAAATAGTTTCCTGTTACTAGATAAGAGGACTGTGATGCACATAACTATGAACAGTTGATAATAACCAATGAAAGAAATTCTAATGAGGGGAACTGCAGTTTACTAGATTAACAAGACAATGCTACTTATGATTGCTGCAAGTAAGATACACACAAAAATTCAGCCTAGGCACATATACTTAGAAATATTCCATTGAACTCAGTATGACTGAACTTGAAGCCTTCTGAATCCAAAACATGATCCCCTTCCATACACAGCCCTTACTTTCAGACTTAGGACTGACCAATAAAGAAGTTCTCCTGTGGAAGCAGCCGACTATGTACCATAGCCTACCCTACATGTGACAGAATCCTTGTTTTACATTTACTAGGAAGCCTCATTGAAATTCAGTGTGATTGACCTGAAAAGGTGCATAGAACATTGTAAGCTGAACTACCTAAGAAAGCTAGCAGGCAAATTAACTGCTTTCCCAGGTAGCGTACACCTGGGAAGCTACTGTCACTTTAATAGGACAGACATGGTTCTGTCACAATCCATGGTCAACAATGTGATTTTGTACCACTGCTGCCTTTCTCCCTACTGTTTTTCACTTACTGCAAATATGACAGTGACCATACCACTTGCCCACACAGTATCTAATTGAATACATGATCCTAGTAGTTCCTGGGAAAATGCTTGATAAAGAAATATTACAGTAGCTTCTTAAGATGCAGGCCAGAGCATCAAAAGATTTGTTAACACATTCCTAAGATGGTGATGGCTTGTTTTGCTTAACTGCCATCTGTTCATAAGATTTAGTTTAAAAGGTGTACAAAACTTTAAACAGAAACCAAGGGAACCACAACAGATATGACAATGTATCACTGTGTGTCCCCTTTTTATTGAAACAAAAAACTTCTAAAACAAACTTAAGCTTATTTCACCAAGCATTTGATATAGGAACTTGAACTACCACTTTGCCCTTATCATAGAAACACGCAGCACAGGTAAAAATCACAGACCCACAAAATCAGACTCCTGTAATTACAAGCCTGATGTGTCAGCCAAATAGTCACTGATAACAGTAGCAGCTTTGATCTCAAATTTAATTAGATGATTTACTGAGTGATTCAACCTGGGATTTAGACTGGGAATTCAAGCAATTCAACATTGTAAAAAAATTAATTCTTAGCAGGCATACACACAATTACAGCTGGTCTGTAGCAATCACTATTGGTACAGTCATCTGAACATTTTCAGAGTTATCTATTTCAAAAGTCTCATACTGCACCAAGTCAAAAGCAATGTACATAGCCACTCATTAGCAATCAGTTACTGTACTGATGTTAGGTATGCCTACCCAAGATTTTCACCCAAGTCTTCTCTGATACCAGCTTTTTATTATTGGTAGTAGTAGTAGTAGCAGTAGTACTAAGACTTTCACCAGGAATAGGGCAGTTACTTAAAAGCACATATGGACACACACTTAGTAACTTAGGTGTTCAATAAAGTGTCTGTGTATGTGGGTTTTTTAAACTTGTTTGTGCACTAATCAAAAGTTTGGGCAAGAACACGAAAGACATTATGTGGGCCACTTCACATATTAAACAATTCTTATGGGCAAGTTAGTCCCATGAAGAATTAGGGTGCAAGAAAATGAATGCCATTTTGCCCACAGGGTATGCATAGGATTGCTACATCTCTGTGTGTTTCATGATTAATAGAAGTGCCTCACAAGCAGGACCATTTTTCAACTGTTACTATGTTTTAAAAGTTTAACAAGATCCAAGTGAACAATGAAGTGTATTATCCATAAAGCATGATGTTTAAGAAGTGGTATCAATATAATCCTATAATTTCTCCAACATATGGCCTCAATTACAGTAATAGTACAATTCCTCCCAACTTTTCCCAAACAGTAGGAAAATATTGCACATGTGGAAAACTTCCAGTAACACTGACAAAGCAGATGAGCAGGGAGAAATCTGAACATTGTAAAATCGGCTGATGGATGAAGACAAAATTGCACATTTAACCAGGCAATCACTAATATACTGACAGTTAAGGACGTCCATCAGTCATTAAAATGCTTTATGACAGTTACTTCAGCTACTAAGCAAAATACTGGAGTTAACTTTTAAGCCCTCTTAGCGATCTGACTTGAAAAGTTAGACAAATTTAGTTTAGGAAGTTACGTAACACAGATGTATTTAGTTTAGAAAATTACATAATATCGTCAGGATTTGTTCTGTTGTCCAGCACGCCTGCTAGATTTTTCTTTTGAACGCTGAAATCTCAAGTAGCACTTAAGCAGAAATGTACTCTGGCACAAAATACACCCCTACAAGCAAACACACACACACACACATCTCGAGACAAGACATAAGATTCAAGCCAACACAAGAGAAAGCTGAGCTTCAGATAAGATCGGAGAGCTGACGTAGCCTATTTAAATCATCATCCCGTGAGCTCGAAGAAAACCAGAAGCGCTTAAACTATTTTGAATGAAACGTGTCTTTTCCACATTAGAAGTTCCTCCTTACGTCAAAAGCCCTCCTCCTCCTCCTCACACAGGACCGTGCCCGACAACGACAACAATGAAATTATTGCAGGAAAAAATGGGAGGGAGGGTCGCCAAGGTGGCGGAGAGAGTACCCAAGAAGAACACAAGCCCGAGCCACACAAAAGCGAGAGGGTGACTTTTCGGGATCGTAGGGAAGGAAGTTAATTTCTGTATTATCATTGTTATTATTATTTGCGGGAGGTGGGAAGCTGCTTTGAAGGAGTCACCCACCTCTTTGATCTTCTCCCTTTTCTTCCGGATGGCGGGGTCGGTCGGTTCCCCTCCCACGGCCCCGACGGGTTTGCGGAACGGCAAGTCCGGCAGCCCGGCGGCCCCCGCCTCCCTCCTGCCCAGCTTGTCCTGCAGCAGAAACTTCGCCTTGTCCTGGTGGATGTCCCTGCGGATCTCGTCGGGCAGCTTCTGGAGGGTTTCTTTCGCCTCCCGCAAAGCTCGCTCGTGGTCCTCGCGGATCTTGGCCAAGTTCTCCGCGGCTTCCTCTGCAACAGCGGCAGCGGCGCCGGCCCCATAGCCGCTGCTACTACTCCCGGCTCCGGGCGGCTGCGGCGGGCGCTGGTGTTCCCCGTGCGCCGGGGGCGGCGGCGGCGGCTGCTGCTGGAGGTTGCTGCTGGAGTGGAAGAAGACGCCGCTGAGCAGCTTGGGGGAGTCCGGCAGGAAGAAGATGGCCCCGAAGCAGAGCGTGATGAAGGCGCTGAAGACCAGCAGCAGCACGAACTTCTCCGTCAGGCGGAACGCGCCGCTGGGGCCGGGGGCTTTCCTGCCTCCGGGCCCGCCCAAGGGACCTCCGCCCAGAGGGCCGCCCAGGGCGCCCGGGCCGGCGGGGCTGCCGAAGAGCGGCAACAGGCTGACGGCGGGCATCGCGCGGGGCTCCGGGACTCAGCGCCCCCTGTAGGCCGGCGGCGCCCGCGGGGCAACCCGTCGTCACCAAACCGCCACAGCCGCGGCGGGCGCCGTCACAGCCAGAGCGGGCCGGCGGGACCAGCCCGCGCTTCCTGCCCTCGGCTGCCGGCGGCAACTTTCTTCGTCCTCTTCGGCGGCAGGAAGTTTTGCTCGGCCGCCGCCGCCGCCGCCTCCTCCGCGAGTTCTCCCCTCACGGGAAGCGGCTGCCTTTTGCCCGACGAGGGAAGTTCGGACCCGAGGTGTGTTTGCGGCTCTGTCAGCTCCTGCCGCCGCCGCCCCCTCGGCTGGTGCGGCTGCTGTCGCCGCTGCCCATTTGACGCCGGCGCTGCCGCCTGCCCTCAGGTATCCGGCGAGAGGAAGGCGGAGCGGCGCTGCTGTTATCGCTGTGGCCGCCCAGCCAATTCATAGGAATGATGACACTTCGCTCCCTCTCTCCCCTCCTCCCTCCCTCTCTCCCCTCAGAGGCGGCGACGGCGGCGCCTGGCACTCGGAAGCGGAGGACAACTGCTTACTCGAGCACGGAGCGCGGAACTGAGGCAGCCGCGAGAGGGAGGCCCCTGCCTCTCGGCAAAGGAGCGCGCTGGACCAATCACAGAGTAGGCGGGGCTGGGTGGTGGCGGGCGAGAGGAGGAGGCGGTTACGGGAAGAGAATGGGCGGGGCATTCCTTGGAGCGAGGGGCGTGGCGTGTGGGTTTGTGGTTTTTTCTTTACAGTTGAGAAATAGAGCGTCCCGGGCGGAGGGGGGGCGTTGCCCGCGCAGCGCGCGCGAGGTGCCAGAGCCGCTGGTTGCAAACGTGCGCAGGCGGGCGCGCGCTCACACTCGCACACAAACACACAGGCAGATGACGACTTGCCTTGCTATGCGTCGTCGTCGGCTTCCCCTGCTCGGGCGTACGTGACGCCACGCAGGAGGTTAGGCGAAATCTTCGTGCCCGGCCCACCTCCTGGCCTAGGGTTCATTAACCCCGGGTCCGTTCATGCATGCACACGTGCAGTAGTACGAAGTTGCGTTTCTTGATCAATCAGTGGGGCTTTGATTCTAGCGCGAGGTTGCAGCATGACGCGCACCGTCGCGTCCCCCCACAACAAAACTCAAGTTTTAACACTTGTCGATAAAGGATCTTCCTGTGGGCGGCCGGCTGTTGTTTACTTATTATGTGGCGACAGTTTATGGGAAGGGAGGAATTGAGGCCGAAATCTGACACCGGCTGTAAATATACAGACCGATCGATACATTGCTAGGCAATAACGGGCGCGCTGGGCTTCCTGTGCCGCTTACTTGATTGACTAAGCGAGACTGGGTAAACGTGCACAGCCTCCCACCGAACTTTTCTGGAATTAAACAATGCATTGGCTGAAGTGACCAACTGGGTTTTTCCACCACAATAATCTAGCGGGGCTTCCAGACTCTGTTGCCATGCCCAAAAGTTTTGCACGGTGTCGAGAGGACGACCTGATCAAATGGAGCTGTCAACTTTTTTCTTTTCTTGCGAGGAATCTTATTCGAAATAAGGGAATTTCCCTTAAAAAGGGGGAAAAGTTGACAGCTACGACTCCAATTTAAATCACGTTGCCTCCCCCAAAGAATGCTGGGAACTGTAGTTTGTCAAAGGTTCTGGGACTAATAGCTCTGTGGAGGGTAAGATACTGTTCCCAGGATTCTTGGGGGGAAGACATGTGCTTTAAATGCACAATGTGGATGTTGCACGAGTCTGGCTGTTGTTTATTTACTGGACGTAGCCTGCCCTATCCCAAAGATTTGGGACTGTTAGCAGTGTACTAATTATTCTGCCTTATACTCCACACCACTCCATCCATGTGACCAAAAACATCCACAGTAGCCTTACATCCCTACAACCTTGGGCAAGTCTTCTTAAGAAAGTAATTCTAGAGTTTAGGTGCAGCCATCCATGACACTTGTTTATATTCCCTTGCAGGCATTATTTGGTTCATAGTGGTGGTATGCTTAAACATTATGATAGAGATGCTCTCATAGCTACAGGGTGGTACGTAGCCACCAGCAGCTTGAATTCAGCTCGGAAGGTAATGCAGGGTCAATGCAAATACTGGGAGAATATGGTCTGGGCGAGTCACCATTAGAAGCATTGGCTTCTAAGCATTGGCACCATTTTGCATTGGCTACTACTTGTGAATTATTGTCAAGGAGAGCCTTGCATAAAGATTTGGCTATCCTTATTTAGCAACATAAAGGATCATCTGGGCCTCTGCATGTTATACTTGGCTGCACAGCTGTTGTGTTGCTGTGGTGCACTCGACAGATAAAACATATGCTCATTTAGGGTCCGTGGTACTCTCGGAGCTCTAGGTGGGAATTGTGCTAGGCAAAAGGGTTTGTGTGTGGTTGTGAAGGGGATTGAAAATGGTGGTTGTGGACTTTCACCAGAACATTCTTAAATTCAGAATAATACTGTTTACAACATTAAAGTCTCACATTGAACAAAATGATCCATAGAAAGTACTTTACGATCTGAAAATAGAAACGATGTATGTACTTTTGTAACCCCAGAAAATCTTTAATAAAAACAATTAAAAAGAAGAAGGCGGCGGGGGGATGGCCTCCCTGGGTAGAAAAAGTTTTCAAGTGCTTGAAGTAAAGGGAAAACAATCATCTGATATGTTGCAAAAGAAAAAGAAATTGAATGTTTTGTTTAATTAAAAGTTTGCAATGAACAATGACTCAACGCTTTACCAAACTTACAAAGCTAATTTTTTCTATAAGAAGTTATGTAAAGCTACACATTTATTGTACATGGCTCTATGCCCAAAGCCCTTGCCAAGCAGTAAATTATACAGTGGTGTTGTAATGAACATAGAAATGAAAGGAACAGCTATAAAATGGTTTAACAATAGCCTGCGAAGTCTTTGACATTAAAAAGCACATTTATAGTACGTACAGTACCCCAAAGCATCTCCAGTGACCATGCAGCTACACATCACCATATGGTTAAGAAAAATGTGGTGAAGAAACAAACCAAATCAGAACCCTATAATCACCATCTTTTTATTTATTTTTTAAGGGAAGGGATTGGAATTTTTCATGGAAGATTTATTCTACTTGTGACTAGAATTTTAGCAGACAACAGAAAATCTTTGTCAACTCTTAACACAATCATTTATGTGACTATATTCCTCTTAGGCTAGTACTACTTTGTACTGCAGACCACTGCTTTAGTTTGTTTGTTCTTTGTGCACCAGCACATTGTATTATGCTATGGCCACAACATAAGAGGCTGCTAGAAATTGAATTAAAACTCAGTTTGTTGGCACTCAAAGGCAACTGGGCATATGAAGTGAAGAGAAAGGGAAAGTATTGCTTGGTTGGATTGCACATGCTCAGTGTCTCTTGAGTTGGGATGGAGGAGAAATTCAAGTCTGTTTGTATTTAAAGGCGAATTTATCAAATTTTCACTTCTATCCTTTGCAATTCATACTTATCTGAATTTTGTGATGCAGCTCTCTTAGCAACCAATGATAACAAAAATGCATATATTATGTAAAATGTGCAGACGAATGAATGAATTAGTGAACATAACGTGAGAAAGGCATTCTGTTAGGAGAAAATGCTTACAAAATGCATATAAAAAGTGTTTATTAGGAGAAATTTGCACTAAAATGCAGAAGTGGTTTTTTTTAATCACAAATTGCTGCAGAAATGTGGAGAACTGAATAAAAAACTGGGAGAACTTAAACTGACAAAGCCTTACATGGCAATCTGTAAAGCGCTATGTATGTCTTAGGTTCAAACTATATGAAAGACCGTGTTCCTCTGGTTTTGAGATCTTTGGGGGAGGCCTCTAAGTCCCACCACCCTCACAGGCACACTTGGTGGGGATGTGGGAAAGGGTTTTCTTAGTAGCTGCTCCCAGACTGGAACTCCCTCCCCGGAGAAGATAGACTGGTTCCCTCCTTGTCCTTCTGCCAGCAGGTGAAGACCTTCTTGTTCCAACAGGTTTTGGGGAGCTGACTGCTTTTAATAAAAGGGATGGTGCAGTGCTGTTTTTATTGCAATTATTTGTATGTTTGAAACACACACACACACAAACATATATTTGTTGTTTTTAATAAACAATGAGAAACTGAGTGTTAATTCAGCATTTATCACTGCTTGGTCTGGAAAGGCCTTCAGGACTTTGCTGTGTTATTTCTTTGTGATCATGGAACTTTACCTGCAAACACCCTGTGGACCACAAGCAGCCCTTACACCACAGTTTAGGAATTACTGCCAAGGATATTTAGGAAATTAAGATGACTATGGATTAAAGATATTCAAGCTAACCACAATTGTGTTAATTATACTATCTGCAGGTGGTGTACTGTATTATGTCTTGTGAAAGATTATGTGGATATTGCCTAAGTTTATCAATTATCCCTTTGTTGTTACTGCCCATTTCCTTCCTTCCCTTAGCAAATATGCAGTGTATGCCTGATGTTTTTTCTTTTTTGATGATTCCCAATATGGCTCCACCAATTAAACACTATGGAAATTGCTTGCTGAAGGTTCAAATGATCTTATCCTCACCAACTGGAAGGGCATTTACAGATAATAATTTCTGTTGCTAGCTGCAATGCTTTAAATTCAAATGCCATTGCTGCATGGAATACAGCTATATACATATTTTGGTGCATTCATTTATGATATATGGTTTTAAAGGGCCTGATGAAACTTGTAATGGAGGCGAGGCTCTAAGCAATTTGCAAGATATGGAAATTAGTTACACAAGACAGACATGATTAAAATACACAATAGTTAAAAGAAAACTGTAATTAAAATAAAAAACCCCAATCACATTAAAACATTACAATATAAACACTCATAGTTAAAATGTACAATAAAAGGATCCAATTAAAAGTGATAAAAAATGAGTCTTGCGTCAAGAGATCAAGGGAATGCCTTTGTGAACAGGTGCATCTTCAAGAACTGGCGGAATGCCAGTATAGATGGGGCCTCATATTTCTGCAGGAAATGCATACCACAACACCAGTACTACCAGTGAAAAACCCCACCTCTGTCTCACCATAAATCATCAGGCTATCATAGGACTAACCAGGTTCCAGTTGTAGATATCAATGCCCTTACTGAGCAATGGGGTGGAGAGTTGATCTTCCAGGTATTCTTATTCTTCTTATTCATTTCATATTTATACCACTTTATATTGTTATGAAAAAAAAAATCCTCAAAGCAGTTAATAACACATAAAAACATCAAAGTATACATTTAAGGCAACATAATTGTCAGGAAACTAAAATATTAAAGATTTCAAAATAAAACATTGCAAAGGAGGTCAACTACAGAATGCACATTTAACACAGCAAAATTAACAAAAAAATCAAATCAAAACAAAGCCTTACTATAGGAAGTCAAGTATAAAAATGCACATTTAAAAGAGCATAGTTAGCAAGAGAATAAAATATTATCATAAGCATAGAACACCTACTGGGCAGTGGCTGTGGAAGCTCAGGTTCAATGACCCAGATCTGCACTCGGAGACAGCCAAGACAGCAGCCTTAGCTTTTGTAGCTGGAGTGATTCCTGGGCCCCATCCTCCCAGGCCAGTGGAAAAAGGC